TTCGCTGGATCTCCGGCCGCATGCGGTCGAGGCGCAGCCGCGCGAAGCGCACGCCGCGCTCCGCGGCGGGCCGCCGGCCGTCCGTGTAGCGCACCGCGTAGCGCATCTCCCGGTCCACGGCGGTGATGCGGCAGGGCCGCACGCCGTCGCCGCCGTCGGCGTCGCCGGCGCCGTCGTCGGCGCCGTCGAGGAAGTGCGACGCGCGGTGGCGCAGCCGCCGGAGCTCCTCCGTCAGGGCCCGCGACGAGAACCGCGACCGCGGCGCGTCCTGCCCCTTGGCGACCCAGGCGTCCTTGCCCGCGCAGACTTCGAGCTCGCACTGCTTGCAGTACCTGCGCGGGGCGCCCCTCGGGGGCGCGCGCGCGGCGCGGCGCGACGCGGGGCCGACATCAGGAAGGGCAGCCGCGCGCACTGCGCGCCGAGCAGCCACTGCGACACCGCGTTCTGCAGCTGCGGCGACAGCTTGTGGAGCAGCTGGTAGTTGAACTTGACGCGGAACAGGCCCTCCGACGCCTCCAGGTACTCGCGCACGCTGTCGATGGCCGCCGGCGGCACCTTGTTCTCCTCGAGGAAGTCGCGGAGCGTGTCCGACGTCATCCTGAAGTCGTTCGCCGCGGGGTCCGTGTTGCAGAGCGTGTTCGTGAGGTCCGCGATGAGGTAGCTCATGAAGAGCAGCCCGAAGAGCATGTTCGCCACGGACAGGCCGCACTCGCCCGCGGTGACGTAGCTGCTCTCCGCGAGCAGAGTGCTCAGCGCCCAGTCCAGGCAGATCGCGTACTCGGTCCAGACGCCCGCCTGGCCGTCGCGGTCCAGCAGCGGCGTCCCGTAGTGCCCCCGCTGCGTGATCACCGTGTCCGCGTCCTTGTCGCCGCGCTTCGTCTGGACGTCGTGGGCGAAGCGGATGCCGCAGGCCTCGTAGTGGACCAGGAGCACGAGGCCGACGAGGTACTTGATGATGATGCGGTCCTTGTGCTTCAGCGACCCGATGGCCGCGCGCCAGTTCCGCTCGAACTCGACGAGGCGGCTCACGCGGCAGAGCTTGAAGAGCGACACGTAGTTGAAGCGCCGCAGCGTCGCCGCGCGGAAGTAGGACGTCGTGGCGTAGCGGGCGACGACGCGCCAGGGCACGACGGCGACGACGTCGAGCACGACCCAGGACCGCGCGTAGCGCCTGGGCAGCAAAAGGGTGCGAAATTCCCAACTTTGGAGGCTCCTATTCGTGTCGAAGATGGCCGTGTTGAACTTGAGCACGATGTCCACGAGAAAGATGGCGTCGATGGCCCCGACGATGACCTGCACCGCGGAGACGTCGGGCGCCGCGTCCAGGTCGACGAACGCGAGATCGAAGGGCACGACGACGACGGCCGCGAGGATCGCGACGAACCTACCAAAAGCATGACGGTCACGATGGCTCATCGGTGTCCCACCCCACATCTCTCGACCGTCGGCCACGGGACGCCGCGACGCACACGGCGCTGTCGAAGGCCATGCGCCACTCCGCGTGCGGATCGAGCACGGGGCAGTCGGCGTGCTGCCGCGCGGGGAAGCGCCGCCGCTTCGGGCCCAGGCGCACGTAGTCGTCGTGGTGCTTGCTCTCCTCCTCGATGAGGCCGAACCAGAGGTCCCGCGTCGACATGCCGCCCTGCTTCGCGAGCTTGGGCCGGCTACCGCCCTTGCGCAGGAGCCCGCTGCCGCCGTGGCCGAAGAGCTTCGCGCGCCAGGGATGCCGCGCCGGCAGCGCCGCCGGCGGCGCGGTGAGCTCCAGGGTGCTCTTCGCCTCCTCGGCGAACTCGCCGGCCATGGTCCTCAGGGCACGAAGAGCGCGGCCATGCTGACCATGCTGCCCAAGGGCATCGACACCTTCATCGACGTTGTTGAAGGTGCTGATGAAAAACTCCCAAAGCTGGAGACGCGGAGCTGGATCCTGCCCGGGGCGACGAAGGACGACGATGAACGCGGAGCAGGACTGGGGGGCCCTCCTCGACCGCGATGGGCGGCCCGGGGACGACGCCGACGCGGCCTACGACCGGGAGTACGCCGACGGCGACGGCGGCTCCAAGTCCGTCGTGTTCAAGTCCGGCCAGGGCTCGACGACTGGCCTCTCCGAGTTCTGCTCCATGACGTCCCTGCGCCTCAGCGAGATCGGCGACGGCGCCGGGGGCGACCCGGACCACGTGCCGGCCTACGGCGAGGGCCACGAGATCAACGACGTGAACACGGGGAAGGCGCTCTACGTCGTCGAGAAGCTTTTAGGGAGCGGCGCGTTCTCCGACGTCTACCTGACGGTCCGCAACGGGCGCCACTTCGCCATGAAGTGCCTGAAGCTCGACCCCAACGACTTCTCGCGCTACGACCGGGCCGAGTTCGGCCTCTGCCGCGAGGCGTCGCTGCTGCTGGGGCTGCCCGCGCACGGCAACATCGTCTGCCTCCGCTACGTCTACGCGGACCGCGAGGCGAGCGGGTCGAGCGTCGGGCGCTTCCTCGTCTTCACGGACGCCGTGTCCGGCAGCCGCGAGCTCTCCACGGCCGTCGACGACGGGAGCTTGTTGGACGGGGAGCCCGCGGAGCGGCGGGTGCTCCAGGTCGGCCACCAGCTCGCGGTGGCCGTGCACCACGTCAACGCACACGGCATCCTCCACCAGGACGTCAAGCCCGACAACTGCCTCATCTTCTTCGACGGGGACGACGGCGTGACGGTGAAGCTGCTGGACTTTGGCATGGCGACGCGCGGAAACGGCGCGGGCGCGGAGCTACGGTGCCGGCTCAGCGGCTTCTCCCCCGGCTACGAGTCCCCCGACATCGTGCGGCTCCTGGGCTCCCTGAAGCGGGAGCGGAGCGAGGCGACGTTCAAGGAGAAGCTCGCGGCGAGCTCGCTGTCCGTGGCCCAGCACGACCTCTGGTCCTACGCGATCACGCTGCTCAAGCTCTGGGAGGCTTTCGCGGGCGTCTCGCCGGCGACGACGCGGTCCAACGCGTCGGGGTCCCGCGCGCGGGCGCGCCTCGACGCCCTGCCCGAGGCCGCGGTGCCGGCCGAGGTCCGAAAGCTCCTGCGGACCTGCCTCGACGCGGACGCCGACCTCCGCCCGCCGTCATTGGAAACCCCGCGCGACGTCTGCGAGGCGTTGTTACCGGCGCGGCTCCGGCGGCCGCGGGCCGAGGAGCCGGGCGGCGGCGACGATCTAAGGGCCGCGGCGCACAACAATCTGGCCGTGCACATGACCGCGCTCGCCACCAAAGGCATCGCGCACGACGTCATGCTCCACGAGGCGGACAAGCTCTACGCGCAGGCCATCGCGCTGGAGCCCGCCGTGTCCCTCTTCCACGCGAACCGCGCCTTCCTGTCGTGCCAGCTGAACCGCCCGGAGGCGGCGATCGCGTCGTGCGAGGAGGCGCTGCGCCTCGAGGGCGAGACGCCCGTCTACATGACGAACCTCGGCACGGCGCTGCTGCTGCGCACGGAGGCCTTCAACCCGCCGAGCCGCGTCTACGAGCGCGTGCTCCAGCGGCGCGCCGAGGCCGCGGAGGCCGCGCGGCTCGAGGCCAAGGTCCGCCGCTTCAACTTCGGCGCGAAGGCGCACCCGAAGTCGTCGGACAACCAGTTAAAGGAGGAGCGGACGCCGAAGAAGTCCATCATCGGCGGCGAGGCGCTCCTGGACGCCGCCCTCGAGGACGACTACGCGAAGGAGCACCGCGACTACCTCACGCGGCGCCGCGAGAACCAGGTGCTGGCCTTCGCGGCGTTCCACCGCGCGGTGCAGCTCAACCCGGACCACCACGCGGCCTTCAAGGGCGTCGCCATGGCCGTGCCGGGCGCCGTGCACATCGGCTTCCGCGACTTCCGCGCGTCCGACGCCGTGCCCTACGTCATGCTCGGCGACGTTTTACTCAAGTACGGCGCGAAGCGCCGCGCGGCGAGCGCCGAGGTCCTCGTCACCCAGGCCCAGAACGTCGACTTCCACATCCCCTTCGACCACGCCGCCTGCCTCGACTTCGCCAAGGCCTGCTACGAGCGCGCCGCGCGCGTGATCTTGGAGGACCCGGAGCGGTCCGTCGGGTCGCGCGCGGCGTTCCTCGGCGTCTCCGTGAACAAGGAGCTCGGCGACCAGCGCCAGCAGACGCTCACGCACATCGCCCGCCGCGTCTCGAAGGTCTACCGCCTCCGCGCGGCCCACGCGCTCGCGAAGGGCGACCTGCTCCGCGCGCTCAAGCACACGGCGACGGCCGCGGCCAAGTACGGCGCGCCGCGCACGTCCGCGTCCAAGCCCGCCAAGGTCGCGCCCCTGGAGAAGGATAAGTGAAGGACCTTGGCGTCGGGGGAAGTGTCGGGGGCCAGATGAAGTGCCAGATCTAGATGAAGGCCTAGATGTTGAAAAGGGGTAAGAAGCCAAAGTTTCCGCGCTGGCAACGTCGAGCTCGGCCAGCGAGAACCTTCCGCAAAGCAAAAGCAAGCGCCGCGTCGAGCCACAGTTTTGCGCGCGGCGCGGGTTTTTACGCGCGTTTCATCATCCGCGCACCGCCGCAGGTTACAACACACCATGGCCAAGCACAGCGACACCGAGGAGGAGGAGAGCGAGGAGGAGTTCGAGGAGGAGTCGGAGCAGGAGGAGTCTGAGGATGAGGACGAGGACGAGGACGACGAAGAGAGTGATGGCGAGGCCGAGGAGGAGCCGGACGACGTGCTCGCCGACGAGGAGCCGGCGTCGAAGAAGGCCAAGAAGTCGCCCGCCGCGAAGAAGTCGCCCGCCGCGAAGAAGTCGCCCGCCGCGAAGCCCGCGGCCGCGGCCAAGAAGTCGCCCGCCGCGAAGAAGGCCGCCGCGAAGCGCAAGTCGGCCTCGGACTCGGACGACTCCGACTCCGACGACGAGCCCATCGCCAAGGGCGCGGCCAAGAAGAAGCTCGCGAGCGGCTCCGGCGCCAACGCCGCGGCCGGCGCGCCCGAGGACGCCGCGCCCGAGAAGAAGGTGGCCGTCGCGCCCGAGCCCGCCGCCGAGCCCGCGGCGCCCGCCGCCGCCGCGGCGCCGCCGAAGAAGAAGGCGGGCCCGCGCGTCGGCGACGCGCGGAGCGAGATCCAGCACTTCGTGCTCTCCGGGAACCGGCCCTACTGCGCGCAGGACGTCGTGTCCGCGCTCGCGCCGCGCTACGACAAGGGCGTCGTGATCTCGATGCTCGACGGCCTCGAGCTCGAGGGCGTGCTCCTCTCCAAGGCCGTCATCGGGTCCCAGAAGTGCTGGTGGCCCGACCAGGCCAAGGTCAAGTCCGCGACGGCCCAGGAGATGCGCGACTACCAGGCCGACGCGCGCGACGCCGCGCGCGAGGCCAAGGAGCTCGGCGGCCAGGCCGCGGCGTACGAGCGGCGCGCGGCGGAGACGCTGGCCCGGCCGTCCAACGGCGACGTCGACGCCTTGATCGCCGCGGAGCGGTCCAAGGTCGAGGCGCTCGAGGGCCGGCTCCGCAAGCGCGGCGCGGCCAAGCCCGCGACGCTGCCGCAGATGAAGAAGGCCTGCAAGGCGCACAACGACGCGCGGTCGCTCTGGCTCAAGCGGAAGCGCGCCTTCAAGGACGTCGCCGACGTCATGGCCGACAACATGGACACGAAGCCCAAGAACTTCGTCAAGGCCGTCGCCGACGACCAGTGCGTCGAGACGGACGAGGACGCCGGCGTGACGCTCCCCGCGCCCGACGCGCTCCCCATCCCCTCCGCCTGAGATGCCCACCCGAGGCCCAACCCCCCCAAGACCGAAGCTAAGACCCCCGCCGTCCGGACCCCGACGCTGCGACCCCGGACGTCGACGCCCCGCGGACTTTTTTAGGCGCGCGCGCTCAGCGGAGCGTCGCGTAGGCCTTGCCGTTGTAGAACTTGCCGTTGTGGAACTGGCCCTTCCAGTTGACCTTGTCCGTGTCCGTGTAGCAGCCCATGCCGTGCATCTTGTTGTCGCGCCAGCCGCCGACGTATTTCGCGCCGTCCGGCCACGCGTACTCGCCCTCGCCGTCGAATTTGCCGCCGGCGAACGCGCCCACGTACTTGGCGCCCGTCGCGAAGGCGATCTCGCCGGCGCCGTGGAGCTTGTCGTCGGCCCAGTCGCCCTCGGACGTCTCCGGGCCCTGGATCATCGTGCCCTTGCCGCTGCGCTTGCGCTGGCCGTCGACGACGACGTACTCGCCCTCGTAGCGCGACCCGTCGACGAACGTGAAGACGCCCTCGAGCGCCGGCTCCTCCACCGACGGCTGCGGCGTCACCGCCGCAGTGATCGAATTCTCCCCCTCCTCGACCTCCATCGTTTCGTTCGCGCGTTAGTATCAAGGCACCGTGCAGCGATGGTGCCTTGGTCGCACCGGGGCAGCATGCGGGCTCCACAGTGTGATAGCAGCTCCGCGAGGAGATGACAGCGCAATGAGGCGCCGCCGAGCATAAACATGCTCCGCGAAACGCTGCTCGCGCTCTGCGCCGCGGCCGCGGCGGCGGACGAGGCGACCTGCGGCCTCGTCGTCAACGTCGACGGCGCGGACCACGCCTTCCGGACGCGCGCGCCGCCGCCGCCCCGCGCGGACATAGAGGCCGCGGCGCTCGACTTCGCGGCCGCGCACCCGAGCCTCGCGGGCGCCGGCTGCGACGGCGCTCCGTGCGTCGCGGCGCGCATCGCGGACCACGTGCTGGCGGCCTGCGCGGAGGACGAGTACGCCGACCGCCTGCGAACGGGCGAGGCGACGGTCAAGTGCGCGACGCTCGCGGGCGTCGACGCCTGCGCGACGCTGTCGCCGCCGCGGCTCGCGGCGGGCGAAGCCGTCGCGCACTTCATCGCGGGCCTGGCGCGCGCGCTCCCCGAGACCGCGCGGTCCATCGCCGAAAAGGTCGTCGCGCCGCTCGGCGGCGACGTTTTTTTGGCCGTGGGCTCGGAGCAGGCCGTGGCCGCGTCGCCCGCGCGCTGGGCCGCGGCGCTCGGCGAGTTCGAGGGGCGCCTGGCCCAGTTCCTCGTCGCCGACGGCACGGGGCCCTTGCAGAAGGCGCAGCTCTGCTACCAACACCTCGCGGCCGCGGAGCGCGCGGCCGGGCGACGGTACGCGGCCGTCGTGCGCCACCGGCCGGACCTGCTCTGGGTCCGCGACGTCCCGCGGTCGCTGGTGGCGGCCGAGGGCGTCCGCCACTGCCTCGACGTCGTCGCGTTCTGCGGGCGCGGCGACGTCGACGACGGCTTCCCCTGCGACGTGCCGCACGCCCGGGAGAGCGTCGCCGTCGGCCCGCGCGGCGTTGCGTCCTCGGCGGGCTGCGCGCCGGAGCTGCAGTTCACGATCGTGCGGCCCCTGGCGGCGCAGGACCGCGCGGAGCGCCACCTCTTCCGATTCTACCATTGGGCGTCGCAGCTCGCGGCGCTGGTCGACGGGGGGCTTCCGGACGCCGTCGCCGAGTGCGCCCTGGATTTCCTGGCGCTGTCGTGCCGCGCGTACGACGCGTTCCTCGGGGACTGGGCCCGGGAGGAGGCGGCGGTCGCCGCGGACGGCACGGTGCCGGGGCCCGCGCCGCGCGGCGACGAGGCGTCGCCCGCGCGCGACCTCTTCGACGGCGTCGCGGCGGCCGACGCGGCGGCGGCGAAGCGCGCGCTCGACGCCTTGGTCCGCCTCTACGAGCGCGAGCTCGGCGTCGTCCCGGGCCTCGGCCCGGGCTCCCAAACCTTGGGCAGCTGTTTCCAGCCGGACCGTTGCGAACGAATCGTGTTCGGACGGTCGTTTCGTGCTTCCGACGCATGGCAGAAATCCCGATTTTCGTCGAAAACTGCCGCTTCGACGGTCGTTTCGTGCTTCCGACGCATAGGTTTGGTTCTCCTGCGAAAATGGCTCCGTTTCACGGACCTTTATTTTTCACAGTTCCCTACGTCGATTTCAACTGGGCTCGACGGGGCACGACCCGGCGTCCCGTGGCCGCGACGAGTTTCGAGAGATTTGGGGTGGGAAAGCAATGAGAAATCGTCACCGTCGTGCTTGGTAGGCACGACCGCTACGTCGCCGACGACGCCACGGGCCCGCCGCGCGTCGCCTTCCTCGACGCGCAGTGCGCGCCGCGGCGGGACTGCGCCGCCGACGCCTACGCGCGGTCGCTCTGCGCGCGGTCCTTCAAGGACGACGTCCTCGCCGCGCCGATCCACGGCCGCTTCCCCTACGTCGGGACCTTCTGCGCCGGGTAACGAGGAGTGTCGACGGTCATTTAAAGAGCCTCGCGAAGCCCCTACTCGGCCCAGGCCGAGGCCTGGACGCGGCTCTTCTGCTTGCGCTTGCGCTGGATCTGGGCCCGCTCGCCGCCCTTGCCCTTGCGGTCCTGCTGGTGGGACTTCTTGCCCGGGCGCGCGCCGTCGGGGAACTTGAAGCCCTGCGTCGGCAGCGGCGCCGGGTAGTCGCCCGCGCCCGCGGCCTCGCGGTCCGCCTTGGACAGCGACGACGGCGTGAAGCACTGGGGCGCGGGCACCTTGGCGAGCTCGGGGATCCAGAGCTTGACGTAGTCGCCTTTGGGGTCGTAGTCCTTGGACTGCTTGAGGATGTTGAAGCGGTTCACGCGGCCGCCCGAGAGGCCCGCGGCGGCGTGCCAGTTGCCCCAGTTCGCCTCCGGCGTGTAGTCCACGAGGTGCTCCTCGAAGTGCTCGGCCCCCAGGCGCCAGTCGAGGCCGAGGTCGAGGACGAGGTAGGACGCCACGTTCTGGCGGCCCCGGTTCGACATGAAGCCCGTGGCCGCGAGCTCGCGCATGTTCGCGTCGACGAGGGGCGCGCCCGTCTCGCCCGCCTTCCAGCGCCGGAGCGCCTCCGGGTCCGCGCGCCACGTGCGCTCGCGGATGTCCTTGACGCCGTAGGGCCGGAAGAGCTTGGAGCCGTATTTTTGTGCGTAGAAGACGAAGTAGTCGCGCCACGTGAGCTCGAAGACGACCCAGTACCTGCGTCGAAATCAAATCTTCAACCCGACTTCAATGTGCGCGTCATTGAACGAATTTTGCCGGACTCTTCGGCCGTGCTTCGAGAACTCGATGAGAGCAATCGATTCGTCCAAAAATCAGCCGAATCGACTTCGAATTGACCGAGCTAGAGAATTTCAAACCAGCGGTCGATTTCCACACGACCCAGTACGTGGACTTGTTCTTGATGCCGCGCGTGCGCTCGTAGTCCGCGCAGGCCCGCGCGACGGCGCGGGGCGACACGCAGCCGCGGCTGAGCCAGGGCGCGAGCTTCGTCGAGTAGCCCTGGCCGATCATGCCGTCGCGCGTGTTGAAGTAGTCCTTGAGGCGATCTTCCTCGAAGACGTACTTGCGCAGGCGCGCGAGCGCCGCGGTCTCGCCGCCCGCGGGCGCGAAGAAGTCGCCGCGGCCGTCGCAGGCCGCGTCGGCCGCGTCGTAGCCGAGGGCGTCGAGCGTGGGGAGCGGCGCCGCGAGCTTCGCGTCGACGCCGGCCGGCGGCGCCGGCAGCGTCGCGGCTTTCGGGAAGACGTCGCCGCGGACGCGCGTGCCCGCCTTCTCGACCTTCGTGCGCCAGGCCGTGAAGAGGTCGTGGAAGGCGACGCCGCGCAGGTCCTCCGGGTGGTAGAGCGTGCCCTCCCAGACCTTGGCCAGGGGCGCGACCTTTGCGACGGCCGCCTCGTCCTTCCGCTCCTCGGAGCAGGCCGCGTCGGAGCAGAGCACGGTCGCGTCGCCGCCGACGGCGGCGCAGAGGCCCGCGAGCACGTCCGCCGGGCGGCCCCGCTCGACGACGAGGCCGCTGCCCCGCGCGCCGAGCGTCGCGCGGAGGTCGTCGAGCGCCTCGAGCGTGAACCGCGCGCGCTTCGCGCCGCACTTGCGGCTGCCGCCGCTCTCGCTCGTCGCGGCCGCGTCGAAGACGCGGTCGTCGAGCACGTAGACGGGCAGCACGGGGCCGCCGCGCGCCGCCGCCTCCGCCAGCAGCGCGTTGTCGTGGACGCGCAGCTCGTCGCGGAGCCAGACGATCGTCGTCGGCTTGGCCGTCGCCGCGAGAGCGCTCATCCTGGCGCGCTGGCGGACGGTTTGAAACGCTGCGGTGCGGCTGAATAGCAGCGCCACGATGGTGCAAGAGCGCATGCGAAGCTCTCGAGTGAAGGTGTGTGACTGCGCCGCGCTGCCACCGCAGGGCCGCCGCGAAGTCGCTGATGATGAAGTCGCCGCTGAACTCATCGTGAAGTGCAATGTCGCCGAGGAATTAGAGCCGGAACGCCGCGGGCGCGGGCTTGGCCGCGGCCGCGGGCGCCGTCGTCCGCGCCTTGGGCTCGCGGGGCCGCGGCTCGGCCTTGGGCGGCGGCGGCGGCGAGAGGGGCTCGGAGAGGGGCTGGAGGAGGCGGAGGAGCGTCGGCAGAGCGCTCAGCTCGATCCACTCGTCGCTCCGGTTCGTGTAGACGTAGGACACGTCGTCGATGGTCCCGTTTGTCATCGCCGCGCGCAGGCCGTCGAAGCCCACGGGCCCGCGCTGCTCGCCCTCCAGGTCCTGGTAGTAGTACTCCATCTCGAGGTAGTCCGTCTGGCCGAAGCCGCCCGCGTCCCGCTCCTCGGTGGAGGCCCGCGACCGCGGCGACGAAGCGGGCGTCGACGACGTCGGCCGCGGCGACGACGTATCGAGGGACGCGAAGGCCGCGTTCATCGCCGCCGCGGCCTCGTCGACGGCGCTCGTGCTCGGCGCCGCCGCGCGGACGCGCGCCTTGGCTAACGCGTACTGCAACGCTCGGATCCACTCCTCGAACTCGCGGGCCGACGGCGCGCGGACCGCGAAGGGCAGCTCGCGCTCCGCGCCGTCGCCGTCGAGCGTCGGGTGGACTTCGAAATAATTCAGCGCCTCGTCCGTGTTCGCCGGCGCGTGGCGGCCCCGGAGCCGGACCTCGTCGGGCACGTTGACCTTGGTCCGCCCGGGGATCAACGTCACGACGCCCGCGACCTTGGTCATGGCCGCGTCGGAGCAGTAGGTCCAGGTGCCCGCGTCGATGTCCAGGGAGAAGTGGCGCTCGCTCCAGTTGCGCCGGCCGAAGAGGAACGAGCCGACGCCGGACCCGCGCGGCGGCGACTTCACTCCGCCGGCCGCGTCGGACGACGACCCGCGCCGCGACCCGCCCTTCTTGAGGAGCACGCCCTGGACGCGCAGGTAGCCCTCGCGGTCCATGTGGTTCGCGCTGTACATGTTCGGCGGCGGGTACTCCCAGCCGTCGTAGGTGCCGTAGGCCGCCATCGCTCCTCTCGGCTTGCGGGGGTGCGGGGCGTCGACGGGTGTGCGCGACGCGCCGGAGAAAACGAGCACGGCTGCGACGACTGGTTCTAGGACCGCGGCCGACCGGAGGGACGACGCGCGGGCGTCGAGGAGTGGGCGGCAACGGGCGCCGGCGACGGCAGAGGCCGAGGTGCTCGACTCCTCGCTCGAGCTCGAGATTTCTGCCACTCCAGGGTGGGCGTGGGAACACGACCACCGGCGCCTTCGACGTGCCCATGCTTGCCGCGCGGTGCCTGGCCCGGCGCGCCCTCGCGTCCGCGCGAACGGCCGGCGCCGCCGCGCGCGCCGCGCCGCACGCGCCGCGGCGCTTCTCGACGGTCAACCTGACCTTCGTCGACTTCGAAGGCGAGTCCTTCGCCGTGACCGGCACGGAGGGCGAGACCGTGCTGGAGGCCGCGCTCGCGGCCGACATCGAGATCGAGGCCGCGCGCGTCCTCCCGCGTCCTTCCGCGCGCGCGCGCGGCGGACCCGCCGCGGCGGACGCCGAGGCGACCCGCGCCCCGCAGGTGCGGCGGCGAGCTCGCGTGCTCGACGTGCCACGTCATTTTGGAGCAGGGCCTCTTCGACTCCCTCGACGAGCCCGACGAGGAGGAGGTCGACATGCTGGACCTCGCGTGGGGCCTCGAGGACACGAGCCGCCTCTGCTGCCAGCTCAAGGTCGGCCCCCACCTCGAGGGCGCGGTCTTCACGCTCCCCGAGGACCCGTATTAGGCGTGCTCCTTGTAACACACAGACATTTTAACTTGTACTAACACACAGACATTTTAACAGGCGAAGTAGCCGAGGGACACGTTGAGGTAGTAGAGGTGGTCCGCGACGGACGTGCACAACGTGCAGTTGTCCGAGCAGGACGCATCCTCGCCCGAGCCGTCGCAGACCGTGGCCACGGTGCTGTCCTCGTCGTAGTAGACCTCCGTGGGCAGGTGCGCGTAGCCGAGCCAGAACATGTCGTCGAGCGGCAGATGGGGCACGCAGTCGCGGTAGTGCGTCACGCGCGTCTCCGACAGTCCCGCGTCCGCGTAGCTCTCGACGAAGTGGCCATCGCCGAGGCGCGGCGAGCCAAAGGTCGTCACGTCGGCGACGGCCAGCGACACGTTGTGCCGAAGAGGCCGCGCGCGAGTTCGAACGCGAGGAAGACCGCGGGCGCCGATCCCGCGGAGTGGCCCATGAGGCGCACGCGAGAACTCTTGAACCGCGCCGCGGCGCTCGTGAGGTTCCCCAGGAGCCCCGGCCGCAGGGCGTAGATACCAGTCGAAGAATCCGCTGTCGACGCCGACGTCCGGCAGGCTCTCCCACGGGTGGATCTTGACGAACTTCAGGTTGTTGATCCAGTTCGGCACGTTCTCGGAGCCGCGGAACGCGACGAAGAGCGTTTTCTCCTGGTCGTCGTAGCCGACGACGGCGCGCCCGCCGCCGCCGTCGAAGATCGCGTGGACGTCGACGCGGTCGACGCACGTCGGGCACGCCCAGGCGGTGTCGCCCGGCGCGACGCAGTAGCTCGCCTGGGCCAGCGCCAACGCGCGGCGCGCCGCCGTCTCGTCGTAGGTCGATGCGTGGTGCTTCTTGTCCGAGGCGACGCTTGGCGCATCTTGTTCGCGGCGCGCGTCTTGCGCGGACGCGCGGGCCAGGACAGCGGAGAGCGCTACGAGGAGGCGGCGGCGCATGATTCAGAGCAGCGCTGGAACGCGTCGAGAGGCTCGGCGGGCGCACGGCCGCAGCGACGCGCGAGACTCGGAGGCCGACTCTGGAGGTCTTTTCAATTGCACATGCCGGTCGGCATCTCGTCGGCATCATGGCGTCATGTTAACCTGTTGAACCCATGCGCGCCCGAGGAGGTCCAGGAGGAGTACCCCACGTTTTCCTTGTCGGACGCAAGGACCTTCGACTCTTTACGCCGCCCGCGCGTCGTCGACGAGGCCCGCCCAGACCGGACGCGCGAACCACTCGCGCGTCGGGCACATCTACAAGCCGACGCCGGCGACGTGCGCGCCGCGCTCGGCCGACTTCGTCGCCGCCCACTTGCTGTCCACGACGCGCTGGCGGTCCGCTTGGAGCGATGCCCTCCGCTCCTTGGCGGAGGCGGTCGCGGCCGCGGGGGCGGCGGCGGCGGCGGCGGAGCCGGAGAGCCAGTCGGGGCCGGACGCGGCGCCCATGGCCCACGCGGCGCCCATGGTCCCAGTGAAACCGGCGGCGGCCTTGGCGGGGGCGGCGACGGAGTGAGCGAAGCCGGACGAGGCGCCCATGGCCCACGACGACCCCAGGCGGCCCGTCGAGCCGACGGCCGCAGCCTTGGCGGGGCCCGCCGCGGCCGCGGGGCGGGCCGCGGCGACTTCGGAGCCGGAGAGCCAGTCGGGGCCGGACGCGGCGCCCATGGCCCACGCGGCGCCCATCGCGGTGTAGTCGCGGGCGCGGTCGACCGCGGTCGACGCGAAGTGGCTCATCGACCCGTCTGTCACGGCCTCGGCGGGGACGGCGGAGTGAGAGAAGCGGCGCCGGCGGTCCGCGCGCGCCGCGCGGCCCGTGCGGAGCCGCGCCGCCCAGCTCGACGACGGCTCCTGGGCGCTCGCGCCGGGCGAGGCGTCGGAGTAGGCGCCCATGGCCCACGCGGCGCCCATTGCCGCGGTGAAGTCGCGGGCGCGATCAACCGCGGTGGACGCGAGGTCGCTCGTCGAGCCACAGACCGCGGCCTCGGCGGAGACCGTGGCCGCGGGGGGCGCCGTGGCCGCGGGGGCCGCCGTAGCCGCGGGGGACGCCGTGGCGGCGGCGGAGCCGGAGAGCCAGTCGGGGCCGGACGAGGCGCCCGTGGCCTTGAAGTCGCGGTCCTTGCCCTCGAACGCGCCAGCGGTGGACGCGAAGTGGCTCATCGAGTCACCGGCCGCGGCTTTGGCGGGGGCGGCCGTGGCCGCGGGGGCGGCCTTGGCGGGGGCGGCCGTGGCCGCGGGGGCGGCCATGGCCGCGACGGAGTCAGAGAAGTCGGACGAGGCGCCCATGGCCCATGACGACCCCAAGTGGCTCGCCGAGCCACCGACCGCGGCCTTCGCGGGGGGCGCCGTGGCGACTTCGGAGCCGGAGAGCCAGTCGGGGCCGGACGAGGCGCCCATGGCCCACGCGGCGTCCCATTTGAAGTCGCGGTCCTTGCCCTCGAACACGCCCGCGGTGGACGCGAAGTGGCTCATCGAGCCACCGACCGCGGCCTTGGCGGGGGGCGCCGTGGCGACCTCGGAGCCGGAGAGCCAGTCAGGGCCCGACGAGGCGCCCATGGCCCACGCGGCGTCCCATTTGAAGTCGCGGTCCTTGCCCTTGAACGCGCCCGCGGTGGACGCGAAGTGGTCCATGTTGCCACCGGCGGCTGTCGGGGCGGGGGAGACCACGGCCGCCCCCGCGGCTACGGCGGCCGCCGAGCCGGAGAGCCAGTCGGGGCCGGACGCGGCGCCCGTGGCCTTGAAGTCGCGATCCTTGCCCTTGAACGCGCCCGCGGTGGACGCGAAGTGGTCCATGTTGCCACCGGCGGCTGCCGGGGCGGGGGCGGCCGTGGCGGCCGCGACAGGGGCGGCCGCGACAGGGGCGGGCGCGACAGGGCCGGCCGCGACGGGGGCGGCCGTGGCGGGGGCGGCGGAAGACGCCGCCGCCGAGCCGGAGAGCCAGTCGGGGCCGGACGAGGCGCCCGCGGCCTTGAAGTCGCGGTCCTTGCCCTTGAACGCGCCCGCCGTGGAGGCGAAGTGGTCCATGTTGCCGGAGGCGGCGGCCGTGGCGGGGGCGGCCGCGACGAGGCGCTCCTGCTCCATGTTCGCGAGCGCCCGCTCGGCGGCCGACCGCTCGCCGGAGCCGGCGACGTCGCCCGCGAGCCAGGCCGGCGCGGACGAGCCGCCCACGGCCTTGGGCGTATCCTGCGTGAAGGCGCCCACGCGGCCGCCGAGCGGCGGCACGGAGCGCTTGACGTTCTCGGCCGCCCGGGCAGCGAAGTGCTTCTTGTTGTTGAGGAGCTCGAGCTCGACCGTGGCCGCGATCCACGCGGCCTCCCACGCAGCCTGTTGGGCCGCCTTGTTGTTCGCGAGGCGGCCGTCGGCGCGGATCGCGTCGAGCGCCGCGCGCGCCGCGACCTCCGCCGCGGTGAAATGCACGTTCTTGCCGTCGACCGAGGCGACGGACTGCTGCTCTTCGAGCCACGAGGAGCGCAGGGCCGTCGCGGGGGCCCGTGGCGTCGGCGGAGCGGTCGTGAAGGCCGCGACGCCCGCGCTGAGCGCGGCAACTCGCAAACAGAAGCCCATGTTCTCAAATCCCCTGCTTGCGGACTGATGTCAGTGTGTCGGCAGCAACTGCGACTCAACATGGGTGCTTCTTAACCGTCACAAACCAAAGGTGTCGTCGTTACTACACGAGCGCGGACTGCGTGCTGTGTGTGTGCGTCCTGCGGGGCAGCCCGTAGCGGCAACCATGGGCTACGCCGAGGCCATGGCGAAGATCGGCATGCGCATGACGAAGACGAACCTCGCGCGGGCCGAGGCGAATCCCAAGGTGACGATCACGACGCCCAAGGCCGAGCCCAAGGCCGACGACGGCGCCGCCGCGGCGCCGCGGCCCACGGCGTCGAGCCCGGGCCCGAAGGCGCCGAGCACGCCGAGCGTCGTCGGCAAGCTGCTCCGCGGCGCGGACCGCGTGGGCCGCGCGTCGACGGCCCAGGCCGTGCGCGAGTTCCACCTCAAGAAGGAGATGATGGACTTCGCCGAGGACCAGTACGCGCTGGCGGAGACGCACGGCGACCAGCGGGGCAAGGCGCAGCGCCTCTCCGTGCGGCTCCAGGGCTCGGAGCACCTCGCCGTCGGCGGCGCCAAGAGCCCCCGCGAGGCCCCGTCGTCGCCCGCGGCCGGCGCGGCCGACGACAAGCTCGAGGCCGCGCTGCTGCAGCTCCGCGACGTCGCGTCGGACGCGAAGCTCCTGCGGGGCGAGCACGTCGCGGAGCACCAGCGGGCGTTGACCACGGCCAGCGGCGTCGAGCTGCTGCCCCACCGCTTCTGCTTCTCCGAGGAGCCGCCGCTCGCGAACGAGATGCACATCGTCACGCCCGGCGTCGGCGAGTGGTACGCGATCCGCCTGCTGCGGAGACCGTCGCACCCCGTGCGCGTGAACATGGCGTCGCGGTCCGACTCCATCCTCATCGAGCCGCCGTCCGTGGCCTTCGCGGGCGACGGCTGGGCCGAGCCCAAGCACGTCTACGTGTCCGCGCGGCCCAGAGCCACAAAAGGGTGATTCAACGTCGCTTCAACGTGAGTGTTCCGCGCGCGCGCGTTCCGGAAACAGCATCCACGCTTCGAGAGCGCTCCGAGAGATGATCGTTCGTCCAAAAATCAGCCGAAACGAGTGGAAAACGGCCGAGATAGGAGCCTTTGAAGTTGGGAATTTCGCACCCTTTTGCTGCCCAGGCGCGGCCGTCGTGGGACGAGCTCCGCGTGGCGACGCACGTCGTCCGCATCTGGCACTACGTCGTCAGCGACGACGCGACCTTCCACAACGCGCGCGTGCCGCCCCTGCCCGTGCACTGCTACAAGACCGCGAGCCCGAACGTGCTCACGTTCGGCAACGACGACGACGGGCAGCTCGGCTCGCTGAACCGCATCTACCCGAAGCTCGACGACTACAACCAGATCGAGCTCCCCCACGAGCTGTCCCGCGCCTTCCTCGACGCCCACCGCGCGGCGCTCGACGGCCTCGACGAGCAGGACCGCGCGAAGGCGGGCGTCCGCGACTACACCCGCCACGCGCACCACCGCGCGCACGCCGAGGGCATCGCCGCGGACGGCGGCGCGTCGCCGACGTCGCCGTCGAAGGACGCCGCCGGCGGCCTCACGCTGAGCCGCAAGCAGGCGCGGGCCATGCGCAGGGCCTTCCAGGAGCTCGACCCGGATTCGACGAACGCGGCGTACATCTCGTCCGACAGCGACGTGCCCCCGGACGGCCCGGCCTTCCGGCGCTACGTCGCCGTGCGCCTCGGCCACCGCCACGACGAGAAGCACGCGACGCGCCAGGGCGACGGCCACAAGGTCCTCGACATGGCCGCGGGCGGGTCGCACAGCGTCTTGGCGTGCTACGACGGCAACGTCTACGCGTGCGGCGCGAACGACGAGGGCCAGCTCGGCGTCGGCGACCTCGTCCCGCGCAAGCTGCCGACGCTCGTCGAGTTCCCGCGCGACGAGGACGTCGACGAGGGGCCCCTCTACCAGTCCATCGCGAAGCACCACGACCGGCTCTTCACGGAGCGCGTCGTCGTCGTCGCCGTCGCCTGCGGCTGGCGCCACAGCGCGGCCATCTCGACGAACGGCGCCTGCTTCGTCTGGGGCGAGAACAGCAACGGCAAGCTCGGGCTGGGCAGGGACGTGCCGCGCGCGGAGCGGCCGACGCGCGTCTTGGGCGGCGTGCTCGACGGCGTCCTGGTCCTGCACGTCGCCTGCGGCACGGAGCACACGCTCTGCGGCGGCGTGGACCACGACGACTCGCGGAGCTTCGGCCTCTACGCCTGGGGCCACCGCATCAACGGCGCGCTCGGCGTGCCGACGACGTTCCGGACCGACGGCGCGACGCGTACCGAGGCCCACGACATGTCGGACCTCGTGCCCCTCTACGAGCCCGTGCTCGTGCCCGGGTCGCGGGGCGTGCCCGTGCGCCAGCTCGCCTGCGGCACGTTCCACTCGGCGTTCGTCGACGGCGACGGCCGCCTGCTGACGTGCGGCCTCGGCGACAGCGGCCAGCTCGGCCGCGACCTGCGGCGCGTCGCCGCGGACCCCGTCGACGGGACCCCGAACCGGGCGCGGGCCGACGCGCGGGCGTTCACCTTCGGGCCCGTGCTCCTGCCGCGGCGGTCGCGGCTCGGGGCCGCGCGGCTCCGGTGCCTTAGGGTGGCGTGCGGCGGCAACCACACGGTGCTGCTGAGCTCGTCCCACGAGGTCTTCAGCTTCGGAAAGGGATCGTCGGGCCAGCTCGGCACGGCGGAGCTCGAGCACCGCGCCGCGCCCGCGCGCCTCGACGCGCTTTTAGACAAGGGCGTCATCGGCATCGCGGCCGGCGCGTCGTTCTCCGCGGCCTGGACGGAGAGCGGCCACACCTACGTCTGGGGCGAGGCGACGGCGGGCCAGCTCGGCCACGCCAAGGAGCACCACACGTCGTCGAACGTCATGCCGCTGCCGAACTTGGTGCCGATTTTGTCGTACGCGCGGTGCCGCTCTTTAGCCTTTGGCGGGTCCCACACGCTCGCGCTCACGGAGCACGACACGGTGACCGTGAAGCGCATGGTGTCCAACTCGCGCGCCTTCTTCAACGACTTCCGGGGCCACGCGCGGCTCCACCGCCACGTCGCCGCGGAGCGGAAGCTCCGCGACGCGCAGCGCGACACGCGGCACCGCGACCGCGCCGCGCGGCGCACCTTGGCGATCGCCGGCGCCGAGGCGCCGGGGCCCGACGACGCCAAGGCGCGGTCGCGCGACGCGGCCCGGGAGCTCCGGTCCGCGGCGGCGCACTACCGCGCGGACCGAAGGGTCTGGACGAAGCGCTTCAAGCTTTTGAAGCTCGTGTCCTACGTCGACGGCGAGCTCATCGTGAACCGGCGCGCGCAGACCAAGGTGCTCGCCGCCGTCGGCGAGGCGCGGCTCGTGAAGATTTTGCGGGTCGGGCCGCCGAAGGAGGCGTACCTGCCCTACAAAGCCCCCGCGGACGCGCCCGACGCCGCGAGCGTCGACGCCGTCGTCGCGGCGCCGCGCGACGAGGCGCCGGCCTTCGTGAGCGCCGCGCGCGACGCGTGCCTCGCGCGCGTCGCGGCAAAACAGGACGAGCGGCGCCGCAAGGACGAGGCGCGCGCGCGGCAGCGCGCCGCGAACCGCGCGAAGCGCCTCGAGGCGCGGCGCGCCGTGCGCGACGCCGCGCGCCTCGACGTCGACGACATGCGCCGCGCCAAGTGCGCGCTCCACGAGCACTGGGACGCGACGCGGCCCTCGCAGCGGAAGCTGCCCTCGGCCCACGGCGTCTACCCCGTGACGGGCCTCGTGAACCGGGGCGGCCAGGACGGCCTGCGCTTCGCCGTCGGCGCCTTGTTCGATTTCGTGGGCGCCGCGGGGCTCTACGCGCTCCGCGTGACGTCGTCGCAGCTCCGGGCGACGTACGACAGCGAGCTGCTCGGCTACGTCGAGACGCTGCTCTGGGACCGCAAGGAGTGGGCGCGGCGCGGCCGCGCGTCGCCGGGCACCGGCGACGCGTCGCCGGCGTCGCCGGCGTCGCCGGTGAAGGGCGCCGCGGCGCCGCCGCCGGGCGGCCAGCGGCGGCTGCTGAGGGGAACGTTCCACGCGAAGCGCATGATGGGCAACGCGCGCTTCCTCGACATGATGCAGCGCACGGGCAACAACCGCACGACCTACCGGCCGCGCCTGTCCCTCGGGCCCAAGCCCGCGCGCGCGCCCCGCGGCGGCCCCGCCGCGCCGGCAACGCAAGAGTCGCGCGTCGAGTACCGCGGCGCCGCGCGGCCCCCGGCGGGCGCGCCGCGCAAGGAGAGCGTGCGGAGCCGCATCACGCGCCGCATCCAGACCGTCTACACGCGCGCGGAGGCCGGCCGCGCGCCCCGGCGGAGCGACGCGGGCGCGGGCGCGGCGTCCGAGTCCGACGGCGAGTCGTCGTCGTCGTCGTCGGCGGAGACGCCGGCGCGGCCGGCGTCGGCGGCGCCGGCCCGCGGGGCGACGCGCCGCTTCCGCGACGACGTCCGCGAGGGGCTCCGGGCCGCCGCCGCCGGCGCGCCGCCGCCGGGCGACGACGGCGCCGCGGAGGCCGTCGACTGCGCCTACGAGGCCTTCCACGTCGCCGCGGCCGCGCGGCCCAAGCGGCGGCCGGACTCGGCGCCGCCCGGCGGCAAGCGGCGCCCGGGGAAGCGCGCCGCGAAAAGGCCGAAGTCCGCGCCGCGCAAGGCGCCCGCGCGCTGGGTCGGCGCGGGCGGGCCCAAGCCCCGGCCGCCGCCGGCGGCCGCGCCGGCGGCCGCGCGGCCCCCGCGGCCCAAGCCCGCGCGGCGGCGGCCGCCGCCCGCGGAGGCGCCCGCGCGCGACGCCGACGGCCTCGCGGGCGACGGCGGCGCGGCCTTCGACGCGGCCGCCGGCGCCTTCGTCGCGCCCGTCGGCGCCGCCGCGGCCTTCGTCGAGGTGCCGCCGGCGCCGGCGCCCGCCGCCGAGGCGCCCGCGCCCGCGCGCGAGGCGCCCGCGCCGCGCGACCCCGACCTCTACGCGGGCGCGGCCGTGACCGCGCGGCCCCTCTACGCCGTCGACGCCTCCGTCCTCCGCCGGCCCGAGGCGCCCGCGGCCCGCGCCGCCGACGAGGTCCACGCGGCGAAGCTGCGCCTCGTCGTCGCCAAGAAGAAGGCCGCCGACGCGCGGCGCCACGGCCGGGACGTCCTCGACGTGTCGCCCTACGTCGCCGGGCCGCCGGGCAAGGGCCACGCCGGCAACCCCTGGCAGCTCGGGGCCTTCTCCTTTTAAGCCGACGAATTAGGTACGTTTTCCTTTACGTTGCACTCGTGTTGAACCCCCAGGCCTGAGGGGACGATGTAAGGGTGTATTAAAGTGTGTATTAGACTAGTAGAGCTCATCCTCCTCTCTAGCGCATAAGGCGACGCACCCCGCCTACGCGCCTACCTCCAGTTTTCATCATCCTCCTCCAGTTTTTCCTGAAACCTGTCAACGAACACTTCGCGCTTGGCCTGATCTTCCCAACCCAAAGTTGTCGTTCTTGCGAATTCCACAAGATCGTAGTAGTCTTTCACGTTGTCATTAACTAAAGGTTCAAAATAAGCAAATGCTGCTTCGAACGCATGATTCGGATCGCTCCAGTGTCCTAGCGCCTGGGAAAGTCGGGCCTCAGCGCTCTCAACGTAGCCGTCCGGAATGTCGGGACGTCCGTCGGGATCGACGATTCTCCCAACAAAGGTCATCCAGGAATCAAAATCAGACGTATAAAATAATCGTTTGAATAAATCGTGCTGCTGCGGGTTGACATGCTCCACCGCTGCGACGATCCGTTCGAGGCCGTCGCTCGAGGGTTCGAAGATCCGTAGGGCCCATTCTGTGAGCCTCCCCCCCCACATCTCCCTTCGTGCGTCCGCCTGCAAGACCGCTTCAAGGACGAGCGACGGCTCGAGCAGCCAGCCCGCGCGGACGTTCGCCACGTCCCCCTCGGCGAGTGAGCGACGCGCTTCGCGGAAATCACTGTCACTCATTGGAGCTCCCAAGCGGCTCACCAGCTCCAGGCAGCGAGTCACGGGCCGGTAGCGACCTCTAGTGAGGACGAGACGCGCCGCGCTTCTCATCTCCTTCGAAACAGACTTCACGCCAATGACGCCAGCGGCAGGCAGAAACTCGAGAGCGATGTTACACGCGGTCATGAGCGACGGGCGCGAGGGACGGCGCGCCTCAGACGTAGGAGGACGGTCCGCCATCGGAGTCGAGGTAAGTGGACGGTCTGACCGATTCTCCCTCCCACTTCGCAGACGCTCACATATCGCGTCGACGGCTGCCCCTCGGGTAAAGAATGACCTCAACATCGTTTGCGTCGACTGCGGGCTGCTCATCTGGGCTGCCCATCGGCGCCCACCGACGCGCGCTCCGACCGCGCGCCTGGAGCAAATCCAAGCGCTCATACGCTCGCCGCCGCGACCTTGGCGAGGCAGCGCCCGCGGTGCTCGTTGCAACGCGCTGGTCGTCGGCGACGACGGCCCGCTTGCCTCCTCGCGCGGCGACCGCGACCGCGACGCCGCGACGCCGCCATGCGTTCGCCGAACCTCACGCCGGACGAGCTCGAGGCGGAGATCGCGGCGGAGAAGCGCATCATCCGCGCGGCGTACTGGGTCGCGGGGTTGTGCTACTGCGTCGCCGTCTTCCTCATGTACCGCCACTTCTTCCTCGCGCCGCCGAAGCGGCGGCGGCCCGCGGCCCACGACCGGCGCCCCTAGCCCCCTATCTCTTACCGAACCCGAACTTGATCTTCCCGGTCGGCTTCTTGGCGAGCCCGAAGCCGAATTTCGCGCGCGGCGCGTCTCACGCGGTCGCGGGCGCGGTCGACGCCGGCGGCGCGGCGGCGGCCGCCGGCGGCGCGGCGGCCGGCGGCGGCGCGCGGGCCGCGGCGGCGTCGATCTGGCGCTGGAGCTCGCGGGCCTGGCGCGCGTCCTCCTTGCGCCGCTTCGCCGCGACCGCGTCGGCGCCGCCGGCGCGGCTCCGCTCGGCCTCGCGCATCTCCGCGAAGCGCTTGCGGTGGCCGTGGTCGTAGGACGAGAGGTGGTTCGAGAACTCGGCGACGGTCTTGTACTGCTTGTCGCAGCACGCGCAGTAGAAGTTCGCGTGCTGCGCCTCGAGCGTCGCGGCGAGCTCGCGCTCGCCCGCGGCCTTCTCCTCGCGCCGGCGCTTCCGGTCCGCCGTGTCCTCGAGCTCCGAGTCGAGCTTGCGCCGCTGCTTCGCCGCGTTCGTCGTCATGTCCTCCTCCTGCGTCGCCCGGCCGAGGCCGAGGCGCCCGCTCTCCTCGGGCAACGTCGCCGACAGCGGCAGCACGCGGCCCTTCTCGCCCTTGCCGAGGCCCGCGCCCTCCTTCCAGCCCATGGCCCGCAGCATCTTGAAGCCCTCGTTCGACTCGTCGAGGGCGCCATCCGCCATGACAGCGGCCGCCTCGACCAGCTCCTGGGACCCGGTGGTGCCAGCAGCTCGGGCCGCGGGGGCCAAAGAGCCTGCAAATTGAGTTCAACGATGCCTAAACGATGCCGAAAATAGCCAGACAGGACGCGACGTCTCCTTAGACGGGGCTCGCCATCGGGTTCGGGGGCCGCGCGTACTCCGGGTCCGTGAAGAACTTGGCGACGCGCGCGGCGTCCGCGCGCCGCGTCTTGCCCGGCGCGAGGACCTTGGCCAGGAGGGGCTCCTCGAGCGCGTGGGCGTCGAGCGCGGCCTTGAGCGCCGCGGGCGTCGCGTAGGCCTCCAACAGCGGCGCGACGTACTCGGGCTTCACGGAGGGCACGTGGAGGAGGAACGCGCCGAACTTGGACGCGAGCGGCCAGCGCTTCTCGTCGACGTCGACGCCCCGGCAGACGTCCGCGTAGGCCGCGACGTCGGGCCCGTCGAGGACGTCCCGCGCGGACCGGCGCCCGAGGTCCGCGGTGAGGACGGCGTCGAGCGTCTGGAGGTAGCGCGCGGTGCCGTCGAAGGAGTCGGCGCGGTGGACGACGAAGCCGTCCTCGAGCTCGAGCCGCGCCATCTCGCCGTGGAGCCGCGCGCGGTCCGCGGTCGCCTCGACGCTCTCGAGGCAGCCCTCGACGACGTAGATGCCCGGCAGGCCGCAGCGCTTCATCGCGAGCGTCTGCTTCGCGTGGTGCGTGCCGCCCTTGACCGTCGTCCGGAAGTCGGAGACGCACTTGCGCTCGACGACGGGGCCGACGACGACGCCGGCGTCGCGCCAGGCGCGCGCGTCGCCGGCCCGCGCTTTCGGCACGGCGATCCACAGGTAGTCGCCGACGGCGACGGCCTCCTTGCGCACGGCGCTCGCGACGGGCGCCTCGCCTAAACAAAGCTTGCCCACGATGGCCTCGGCCTCGCGTTTGCCCGTCTGCCGCTTCTCCCGCGAGTCGACGACGAGCCGCAGCTCGAAGACGTCGAGGAACGGTAAGGCGAGCGACCCCGCGACGGACTCGCGGACGCGGCCGAGGCAGCTCCGCCGCCGCCGCTTCGCCGGCGGCGCCGCGGCCGCCTCCGCGGCGCGCGGCGCCGCGGCGCGCGGCGGCGGCGCGGCGTCGTCGTCGTCGCTGTCGAGGACGACGATGGGCGCGTCCGCCGCCGCGGGCCGCGGCGGCGGCGGCGGCGGCGGCGGCGGCGCGGGCGCCTCGCCGGCGTGCGCGCGGTAGGCGGCGTCGAGGTCCGCGGCGAGCTTGACGCCGGCGACGAGGCCCCGGCCGGGCGTCGTCGTGAGGCGGTACTTCTTGTTCTGGAGCGGGTAGGTCTCGACGACGTCGTTCTTCAGGAGCGTGCCCCGGAGCGACGAGATCGCGCCGTACAGCTCGCCCGCGCGCGGCGCCATGGCGACGACCGTGAGGGGCTGGGCGAGGGCCGCGAGGGCCTCCTTGTCGACGCCGGCGAAGCCCGCGGTCCGCTGCTCGCGGTGGAGCGCGACGAGCATCGCGGCGACGCCCGAGACGTCGCCGTTGCCGTCGAGGAGCTTGGGCCGGTACGCGCGGCCGCGCACGCCCTCGCCGCGGGCGACGGCGGCGCCCTCGGCGCGCGCCGTCGCCTCGGCGCGCGCCTCGTGGTGGACCGCGGCCGCGCCGCCGCCGTCCGCGCCGCCGTCGCCGCCGTCGCCGACGGCCGCGTAGCCCTCGCGCTTCTTGGCCGCGATCCAGGTCTTCTTCTCGAGGTCGCCGCGGTGCATGAAGTCCTCGAAGCACTCGTCGAAGCCCGGCTCTCCCAGTAAACCCCAGGACCGCCGCGCCATGACGCGGCCGCAGGGCCGCTCGAGGCACTCGACGCGCCACCACCGCTGCTCCTCCGCGCGCTTCTCGAAGCGGCCGAGGGACACGATGGCGCAGCCCTCGCGCGCGTAGCGCGCCCAGCGCAGGAACGCGACGGCCTTGCCCGCGATCTTGTCGCCGACGCCCTTGACGGCCTTGGCCTCCTCCTTGGACTCGCCGACGGCGGACCCGTGCGCGTGGACGCCCCGGCACGCCTTGTAGTAGGTCCCGCCCTCCTGCGACGTCTGGCTCCGCGACACGTACTCCCAGTAGCTCTTGAACCGGTCCCGCAGCGCGTCGTTCGCGGCGACGGCGCAGGGCGTCCGCAGGCACAGCGCGTTCGCCGACCCCTTGCCCTTGCCCTTGCCGCCGTAGCGCGCGCCGCCGCCGCCGCCGCGCCCGCCGCGCCCGCGCCCGCGCCCGCCGCCCTGGCCGCCGCGCCCGCGCCCGCCGCCGCCGCGGTCGATGGTGCGCGCCATGTGTGTTCAAATGCGGCCGCAGGCGCGCCGATGAGAACCAAATTCGGCCGCGCGCGCGTAGATGAGAGCTAGTGCGGTCGCGCGCGTGCAGACGAGAACGGCCGCGTGCGCAGACGAGAACCTGAGCGCGCGAACCAGCGCGCGCGCGCGAGTGATCTGAGCCAGTGCTTCCGGCATGTTGGCCCGCGTATCCGTATTGCTCTCAGCGCCGGCGCTCTCCGGACGCTGCCCAGGCGCACCTCCAGAGGGAGAGCGCCGCCTCGGCCCGCGCGCCCCCGCCGATTTCGCCGCGCGCCCCCGCGGAAGTGGAAGTGTCGCCGCCATGGTGTCCGAGGGGAAGCGGCACTCGCTCCACAGCGAGCACAAGCTGCTCATCCCCGCGACCGTGCTTCGGAGCGTCGTCGTGAAGATGCACGGCGCCTTCCCGCGGCTCTGCAAGGAGTGGAACGTGGCGAGCTGCATGCGCAAGAACTGGGCGCGGCTCTTCGAGCACATGGACGCCGACGGGTCCGGGCGGCTGCACTTCGAGGAGTTCCTCGAGGCGACGAAGACGCTCGGCGACATCGGCGCGACGCCGCGGCAGCTGGAGGCCCTGTGGCACTACATCGACCACGACGAGTCGGGCGAGGTGAGCATCGGCGAGTTCCAGCACGCGACGTACCTGCTGCTGCTCGAGGGCTGGGTCGACTACACGAAGTCGGAGGCCGGCGCCGCTGAACTAAAACGCATGGTGTCCCGGATCAACGAGGCGGCCGTGCGCGAGTACGCGGTCATCTCCGGCAACTGGTTCAAGATCTTCAACCAGGTCGACGTCGACGAGTCGGGCCGCGTCGGCTACGAGGAGCTCGAGGCCGTCCTGCGGTCGCGGGACCCGGGCCTCCGCATCGCGGCCGCGGAGATCAGCGAGAACCAGCTCCGGGGCCTCTGGAAGGCCATCGACGCGGACCGGTCCGGCGACGTGACCGTGGAGGAGTTCCTCACCTTCATGCGGGCCCACGGGCCGTCCATGCACAATTTGACGAACTACGCGCGCGAGAAGCGAGGTTTAGAACAAAAAGCCGCGTGGCGGAGCCACCTCCTCGAGGTCAAGGAGGTCAAGGAGCGCAAGGGCGCCATGGCGCGGCTCCGGTCCGCGCAGCGCGCGTCGCAGCGGGGCCTGCCGCTCTGGGGCGCGGAGCACGACGGTGCCGACGGCGCGCCCGCGCCCGCGTCGGGCCTGGCCGAGGCGCCGCCGCCGCCGGGCCCGCGGCCGCGCCGGAGCCGCCGCGCGGTCCAGCTCGCGCACCTCCAGTGGCGCCGCCGCGTCAACGAGGCCAAGATCCGCGACGCGATCCGAGGAAAGTCGGACGCGAACGAGCGCGACTTCGTCCGCCGCTTCGCGACGAACCCGAAGGCGTCCCAGCAGCACTGGCGCCGCGAGGTCATCGCCGACGAGCTCGGCAAGCCCCTGGCCGTGGACTCCGAGCTGCTGAACCGCTACGAGGGCGCCGCGGCGCTCACGCACCGCCAGGAGGCCGCCGAGGCGCGGCGCCACGCGAGCAGCCTCATCTGGCTCGACCGCCGCATCCGCCAGCGCGAGGAGGCCATCGTCGAGGACAGCGTCCTCTTCGGCGCCAAGCCCCACCCGCTCGACGCGCCGTCGACGCTCGGCCTCATGAAGGGCTCCTTCGGCGACCTCAAGGCCAAGATCGAGCGCTACGGCGAGCACCGCTTCGGCCGCGAGGAGTGGGAGGCCCTCGAGGACATCTCCTCCTAGGGGGGGCGGGGAACGTAAGCGCGGATAACACAAGAGGCGCGGCGCGCGCGGCCGCGAGGACATCTCCTCCTAGAAGCCCCGGGAACGTAATCGCGGATAACACAAGAGGCGCGGCGCGCGCGGCCCTAGTTGCGGATCCAGGGGCGGAAGTAGCCGAGGGCCGTGCAGGACGCGTTGCCCGCCTGGTCCACGTCGAAGCAGGGCCCGCCGGGCACGTTGCAGGGGTACATCTCGTGGCGCGCGACGAAGTCGAGGACCTTGGCCTGGATCGCGAAGACGACGTCGGGCTTCTCCGCGGCGAGGTCGACGCGCTCCTCCGGGTCGACGCTCAGGTCGTAGAGGTACGTCGCGTTGTCCACGAGGCTCACGCAGGCGGCGTCGAGGGACACGGCGCCGTGGGGCTCCGGGTGGACGCAGGACGGCGCGCCGTCGTCGGCGTAGGCCGCGCCGACGGACGGCGGCGGCATGATCCACGTGTCGTTGATGATCGACGGGTGGACGAGCTTGTAGTCGCCGTCGCGGTAGCTGTAGGCCGGCGCGGAGCAGTTGACGGCCAGGGGCCCGTGCTGGGCGCAGGGGTCGTACATGAGCAGCACCTCGGACCGCGGCGACGGCGACCCGTCGCGGAGCGCGGCCCAGACGTCGAGGCCGTCGATCTCGTAGGCGCTCGCGCCGCCCGCGAGGGCCACGAGCGTCGCGTGGAGGTCGACGACGTGGACCATGCCCTTGTCGTAGAGGCCCGGCGCCAGGCGCCCCGGCGCGCGGATGAGCGCGTGGTTCCGGACGCCGCCCTCCCAGGGCTGGCCCTTCTGGCCCCGGAGGGGCCAGTTGTTGCCGCCGCCCTTGACGATGCCGCCGTTGTCGCCCGCGATGACGATGACGCTGTTCCGCTTGCCGAAGTTGGCGTCGATGGCCGCGGTGACGTTGGCGATGGACTCGTCCGCGGCCCGGACCTGTGTGGAAATCAACCGCCGGTTCGGGACGTCCCGACCAAACTTTGACATGCTCGAGCTCGGTCACATCGAAGTCGATTCGGCTGATTTTTGGACGGATCGATCGCTCTCATCGAGTTCTCGAAGCACGGCGGATGTGCTCGTGTCAAAACATTCGCATACGCTCACATTGAAGTCGAGTTGAATATTTGATGTGCGCGCGGGCCCGGACCATGCCGCAGAACTCGCGGCGCGCGCCGTCCGGGTAGTGGCGCGACGACCCGATGGACGCGCAGGCCGCGTCGTCGGCGTAGCCCGCCGGCGCCTGGATGGGCGCGTGCGTGTCCTGGAGCGCGAGGTAGAGGAAGAGGGGGATCGAGGCGTCGTGCGCGCCGACGACGGCCACGGCGCGATCGACGAAGAGGAACGAGTTGTGCGTCCCGTTGATCTTCAGGAGGTCGTCGACGGTGTAGTAGGACGCCCCGTCGGCGAGGCTCGACGCCTGGAAGTCGCCCAGACCCTGCAAAATGCGCGTGAAGTGGTCCTCCTCGCCGTTCTGGTAGCCGTAGGAGGCGTCGAAGCCGCGCCGCGTCGGCTCCGACGCGTCGTCGAAGTTGCCGAGGTGCCACTTGCCGACGTGGGCCGTCGCGTAGCCGGCGCCCTTGAGCTTGTCGGCGATGGTCGTCTCGTTGGCCGGCAGGCCGTAGTCCTGGAAGCCGCCGATGACGCCGTGGTGGAGCCCGAGACGCTGCGGGAGCCTCCCCGTCATGAACGCGCCGCGCGTCGGCGTGCAGAGCATGGTCGTGTAGTACGTGGCGATGCGCACGCTCTCGTTGGCCAGCGCGCCGACGTGCGGCCAGGCGCCGGCGACGTCCGACGTGTTCACGGCCCAGGCCTGCGGCGGGGCGGCGTCGTCGCCGGGGGGAGTCGCGGGGGCGGTCGCACGTCGTTGAATCCGAGGTCGTCGACGAGCATGAAGGCGATGTGCGGCTGCTTCGACGGCGCGCCGGCCGCCGCGGCCCCGACGAGGAGGGCCGCCCCGACCATCGAGCCTGGCGCCATGGAGGAAGACGCTGCCCGAAGGTCCAAAAACGACCTCGTGAAGTACAACGTCGACCTGCGTAATTGCCACAGGCATGGGCTCCCTTCTCGCGCTCGTCGCGGCCGCAGCCGCAGCGATGACTGCGGCCGCAGCACCGCCCATCGCGCCGGCGAACGTCTCCGTCGTCTGGCACGCGCCCTTCTTCTCCGGCGGCGGCTACTGCTCCGAGGCGACGACCTTCGTGCTCGGCCTCGCGGCCCTCGGCGTGCCCATCGGCCTCGAGCCCCACGGCGACGGCTTCGACCAGGACTACGTCGCCGGCCTCGACGACGGCACGCTCGCGTCGCTCCGCGCGCTCACCGCGCCGCGGCGGCCGCCGCCGCGCGTCGCCGTCTGCCACAGCGAGCCCGGCGCGTGGCACGTCCTCGACGGCCCCGCGTGGCAGAGCTCCGCGTGCCCGCGGCGGTCGCGCCTCGGCGCGCCCTACACGATCGGGCGCACCATGTTCGAGACGGACCGGCTGCCCGACGGCTGGCCGGAGCGGCTGAACGCCGTCGACGAGGTCTGGGCGCCCGCCGGCGTCGAGCGACGGGCGCGTCTTTTCGCGCGAATGTCGCCCGAAGATGCGAAGACATCCGACCCCGTCGCACGTGGTAGGTGCCCACGGAGTTCCACCGCGAGATCTTCGAGGCCGCGGGCGTCCGGAACCTCCAGGTCGTCGGCGAGCCCGTGGACACGCTCCGGTTCTCGCCGTCCGACGACCGCTACGCGCTGCCCGGCGTCGCCGACGACGCGTTCGTCGTCGTGAGCGTCTTCAAGTGGGAGAAGCGCAAGGGCTGGGACGTGCTGCTCCGGGCCTGGGCCGACGCCTTCGCGCGGGGCGACGGCGCGGTCCTCGTGCTCCTCACGAACGCCTACCACGGCGGCGACGACTTCGAGGCGACCCTCGAGACGTTCGTCGTCGAGACGCTCGGCGAGCCCGCGGGCCTCGCGGCGCTCGCGGAGATCGTCGTCCTCTCGAAGCTCCCGGAGGCGGACCTGCCGCGGCTCTACCGGCGCGCGGACGTCGTCGCGCTGCCGACGCGCGGCGAGGGCTGGGGCCGGCCCCACGTCGAGGCCATGGCCTGTGGCGCCGCCGTCGCGGCGACGGCCTGGTCCGGGCCGACGGCCTACCTCGACGAGTCCAACGGCTACCCGATCCGCGTCGCGGGCCTCGTCGCCGTCGGCGACGGGCCCTTCGCGAGCCACCGGTGGGCCGAGCCCGACGCGGCGCACCTCGCGGCGATCCTGCGCCGCGCCAAGGCCGACCCGGCGGAGCGGCGCGCGCTCGGCGCGAAGGCGCGCGCGGACATGGTCGCCCGGTTTTCGCCCGCGGAGCTCGCGGCGCAGGTCAACGCGCACCTCGTCCGCATCGAGGCCCTGCTCGACGCCCGATCGCCGCGGCGGGGGGACCTCTAGTTGCTTTTTAGTCGTCGTCGGACTCGGCGGCGGCGTTGATAAAATGCGTAGAGCCCGCCGCCGCCCAGCGCGATCGCGGCGCCGCCGTAGTTGAGGACGTACAGAAAGAGCACGAAGGCCCGCATCTTCTTCCGGTCGTTCATGTTCGGGAACGGCGTGCCCTCCGGTTCCGGAACCCCCAAGAAGGCGCAGAGCGGCGCCCACCCGTCGGCGACGGTGAACTCCAGCAGCCTGTCGCGCGGCACGACGGCGCGCACGTGGTCGGCCCAGGCGTCGTAGGCCGCGCGGCTCCCGGCCTCGTCGAGCCAGTCCGACCGGCTGAGGCAGAAGCGCCGCTGGTTCAGCGCGACGGACGCGTCGCAGTCGACGTAGGTCGCCATGCCCGTCTCCCGCATGCCCCGGAACGGCGGCACGCGGCCGATGCGGAGCTTGGAGAGCGCGTTGACTTGCAGGTCGTAGATGCTCGCCATCGTCGACGCGTACCAGCCCGCGGAGCCGCCGGGGTGGAGCGAGAGGACGACCTTGGCGTCGGGGAAGACGTCCATGAGCGCCTCGAAGTGGAACGCGGCCGGGCCGTCGCAGGCGCCGCCGAAGCCGGCCACGAGCGACCGCAAAAGCGTGTCGTTCCGCGCCCTGCTCAGCGCCTGCCAGCCCGCGTGCTGGGCGTTGTTGAAGACGCAGGACTCGAAGTGCCAGACGTCGACGCCGAGCAGGTGCTGGAGCGCCGCCTGCTGCGACGACGTGCCCGTCCGCGGCAGGCCGGCGCCGATAACGCGGAAATGGGCCGTTCGCGGCGGCGCGCGCGCGAAGGTGGCCCAGAAGCGCACGGCGAGGCGCCCGAGGAGCTCCATCGACCAAGGGCTGCCCCCACTTCAACACGGGCAACGGACGGACGCAGTCGGGCGCGCATCCCCTTCAATAGTCCAACGTGCAGCGGAGGAGCAGCACTTTCGACGATGCACATGACGATGTGATTGCGCCGCTTAAAAAAAAACACCATGGACGAGACGTCGAAGCTCGTGCCCCCGCCCCCGGCGGCGCTGGACCGGAGCGTGTCCGTCGCCGAGTCCTACCAGGCGTCGCTCGAGGGCGGCGCGGCGCGGCGCGAGGCGCTGCGCGGCGCCCGCGCGAGCGTCTACATGTACCAGTTCTGGGGGTCCGCGGGCTGGGGCATCTGGAACATTTGTTACACGTACTACCTGCAGGACGTCGGCGGCTACAGCAGCGGCGTCGCCGCGAACTACGCGACGGGCGAGTGGATCGCGTACGCCTTGTGCCAGTTTTTGACGACGCCCGTCTGGGGCGCCATGTCGGACAGGGCGGGCCGGCGGCAGCTGCTCCTCATGGGCGCCGTCGGCGGCTCGGCGTGCATGGTCACCTACGCGTACCCCGTGGGCTGGTGGTGGGTCGCCGTCGGCGGGCTCCAGGGCTCGATCGACTGCACGTGGGCCGTGTGCAACGCGATCGTCGTCGATTGCGTCACCTACGGCGCGCCGCCGGGGTCGCCGGACGACTGGGGGGTCGCGCGGGCCTTCCGGTACTTGGTGATGCCCGCGCGGTCCGCGGCGTCGCTCGACGACGACGTGCGGCAGGAGTTGGCCGCGGCGATGACGATGCTCTGGTGCGTCGGCGGCGCGGGGTCGCTCTTCGGCTACGGGCTGGGCTACGTCGTCTGGACGCTGCTGCCGAACTGGCTCGCGATGATGAGCTGCGGGCTCGCGGTGTGGCCGGCGATCGCCTACGCGTATTTCTACCTCGTCGAGACGAAGCCGGAGACGTCCGACGGCGCGTCGCTCGACACGCTCGAGGACGCGTGGCGGTGCGCGCGCGAGGGCGTCAAGATCCAGGCGCGCGCCGTGCCCATGCTGCTCCGCGACCGGCGGAGCGCGCTGCTCACGGCCGCGTACTTCATGATCTATTTGGTGCTCACGGGCATCTTCGACCTCTGCCTCTTCTGGGGCGAGCGCAAGTTCGACTGGGACGTGGGCATCACGACGGGCTACCTCATGATCGTCACGGTCGCGCCGGCCGTCGGCGCGTTCCTGGGCACGCGCGTGCTCTTCCCGTCGCGGCTGAAGTACGCCAAGTCCATCGCGCTCCTGCTCGCGGCGTCGGCCGCGGGCTCGGTGCTCGAGGGCCTCGTGCCGGATTCGACGGCGGCCGTGGCCATCGTGCCGCTGGCGTCCTTCGGCTGGGGCGTCTACCCGTCCATCACGGCGCTGCTCACGCCCGACGAGGCCCACGCGAACCAGGGCCACCTGCAGGGCGCGCTCTTCGCGATCACGACGCTCGGCTCCGTCGTCGCGCTCGGCCTCTACCTCCTCGTCTACGACCTCACGCTGCCGAGCGCCGACTCGGGCACCTACAGGGCGCGCCACGACTACGAGTTCGGCGCCATCTGGCTCCTCTCGGGCTTCCTCCTCGCGGCCGCGGCGGCCTGCGCGCTCGAGGCCGGCGACGCGGCGCCCGCGGCGGCGCGCGCGGCCCCGGCCAAGGGCGACGAGGACACGAAGGAGGGGTAGCGCTTCGCAAATGGCGTTAAGGCCCGTCTTGACGACACATTCGACGGCATCTCGAGTTCGTTGCACCCTCGTTCGGCTGTTGGCAACGACGCGCCCGACGGGACGCCGCGCCGCGCGTCGACGGTGCGCTGAAGGAGTGAGACCCACCCCGCGAGACTCGACGCCGCCCACGCGTCGACTCGACGCCGCCAACGCCGCCCACGCGTCGACTCGACGCCGCCCACACGTCCTGTAGACGCGAGACTCGACGCCACTCACGCGACTTCTAAACCATGACCGCCGGCACGGAGACCTGCGTGAAGGTGGTGGTGCGGTGCCGGCCGTTGCTCGGCCACGAGGATGGCGCGCTCGACGTGTCCAAAATCGACGAGGCCGGTGGTTCGATTAAGATTGGTGACAAGACCCACAAGTACGGCCCCGGCGGCGCCGTCGGCGGCACCGGGCGCCACGACGCCATGTACGACGTGACGACGAAGCCGCTCGTCGCGCAGCTCTTCGACGGCTACAACGCGACGGTGCTCGCGTACGGGCAGACGGGCAGCGGGAAGACGTACACGATGGGCACGGCCTTCGGGGACGAGCCCGACGGCGTCGTGCCGCGCGCCGTCGTCGACATCATGGCGCGGCGCGCGGCGCTGCTCGCGGCCGGCGACCGCGACTGCGGCGTCGTGCTGAGCCTCTGCGAGGTCTACAACGAGGAGGTCCGGGACCTGCTCGCGGACCGGGGCGGCGGCGCGCTCAAGGTCCAGGACGCGGCCGAGGGCGGCGGCGTGCGCATCGCGGGCCTGAGCGAGCGCGTCGTCGAGAGCGCCGACGCCGTCTACGCGCTGACCCGCGACGGCATGCGGCGCCGCGCGACGGGCTCGACGAACATGAACGAGCACTCGTCGCGGAGCCACATGATCCTGAGCTTCCGGGTCGAGGTCGGCGCGTCGGCCGACGGCGCGTCGTCGAAGACGTGCTCCAAGCTCCACCTCGTCGACCTCGCGGGCAGCGAGCGCGCGAAGCGCACGGGCGCGACGGGCGACCGGCTCCGCGAGGGCATCCAGATCAACTCGAGCCTGCTCGCGCTGGGCAACGTCATCGCGCGGCTCGTCGAGCTCCAGGGCAAAGGCGGCGGCGGCCGCGACGGCCACGTGCCCTACCGCGACAGCGCGCTCACGCGGCTCCTGAGCGACTCGCTCGGCGGCACCGCGCACACGACGATGATCGCGTGCGTGTCGCCCGAACGCGTTCGACGCCGACGAGAGCCTGAACACGCTGCGCTGGGCCGACCGCGCGACGCTCGTGAAGAACGTCGCGGGCATCCACGTCGTCGTCGACCCCAAGGCCGAGCGGCTGCGCGCCGCGGAGCGCGCGGAGCTCGAGGCGCTGCGCGCCGAGGCGCGGCTCCTGCGGGCCCGGGCGGAGGTTTCGGCGCGCGCGGGCCCGGCGGCCGCCGACGAGGCCGCGGTCGCCGTCGAGCGCGAGAAGCTCGCGGCGATCCTCAAGGTCCACGAGCGCGACCAGAAGCGGTGGCGCCGCGAGCGGTCCGAGTTCCAGCGGACCATCGGCGAGCTCGGCAAGAAGAACGCGGCCCTGGACCGGCGCTGCGGCGTGCTGCGGCTCGCCATCCCGCCCGAGGCGCGCGAGGCCGCGGAGGCGGCGCTCCCCGTCGACGACGACGTCGCGCTCGTCCTCGCGGAGGACGAGGCGCGGCGCGCGACGGGCGAGCACCTGCCGCTCGACGACGAGGGCCACGTGCTCCAGGCAGCGCGGCGCCCGCCGGACAGCGACGAGTCCGACGGCGAGTCCGACGACGACGACGACGAGCTCGAGCAGGAGCGCAAGCTCGCGACGCTCGCGCTCGAGGAGAAGTGCATGGACAGCCTCAAGCAGCACTACGAACGGGCCATCGAGAAGCTCGAGGCCGAGGTCGCGGCCCTCGAAATCGAGCGCCGCGACCTCGCGGAGCGGACGCGGTCGACGGAGTCCGAGGCCGCGACGCGCGTGCTCCGCGAGAAGGCGCGCAAGCTCGAGCTCCACATCGCGCGGCTCCGCGGCGAGGCCAGGAAGGCCACGGGCGAGGTCCAGCGCTGCGCGCAGCTCAAGGACCGCGCGGAGCGCGACGCGCGCGCGCTCCGCGCGGAGGTCGAGGAGGCCCGGAAACGCCGCGGCGAGCTCCAGCGCCGGCTCCAGCGCAAGGACGCGGACCACGCCAAGGAGTCGCGGTCCTGGAAGCGCGAGGCGAAGCGCCTCCAGCGCGACAACGACCGCGTCAAGGGCGAGAAGACGAAGCTCGTCCAGCGCTTCGCGCGCCAGGAGCAGACGCAGGCGCGCCAGCTCGCGGAGGCGCGCGCCGCGCTGCGCCGCGCGCGGCAGAACGCGACCATCGCCTACAGCGCCGCGGCGAAGCCGACCCAGGCCAAGCGGTCGCGGTCGCCGGGGCCCGGCGCGTCGCGGCCCCGCGCGGGCAAGGCGCTCGTCCCCGAGGACCCCGACGCGATGCCCGCGTGGCTCGAGGTCGAGCTCGAGCGCCGCGCGGACCGCGCGCGCGGCGGCGACGCCCCGGACGACGCCCGGCGGCCGTCGACGGACGGCTTCGCCCACGTCGACACCCTCGAGGACGCCGTGGCCGTGCTCGACCGCCTCGCGGACGAGGCCGCGCGCGCGCGCGCGGCCGAGCGCGACGCGCGGTCCGCCGTCGCGGAGCGCAGGGCCCAGGACAAGGCCGCCCACCGGTCCTGGCTCAACGGCGAGCGCGTCAAGTACAAGCAGCGCCAGACGCTCGAGAAGCAGCGCCAGTCCGAGACGCTCAACGCGCTCATGGCCGGCGTGCACTCCATCGTCGGCGAGGCCTTCTCGCCGCGGTCGGAGCCCGCGGCCGACGACGTCGCCGCGGCGGCGCCGCCGCCGCCGCCGCCGCCGCCGCCGCCGCGGCCCGTCGTCGTCGTCGCGGGCGACGGCGACGACGCGCCGCCCAAGGCCGTCGTCGCCATCGGCGCGAACCACCCGCACCCGCTGCCGCCGCCGGACGGCTCGCCGCCCCTGTCCCTGGCCCAGCGCGAGTACGAGAGCCGCCGCGCGCGCCAGCGCAACGCCGTGCCCGAGCTCCTCGCCGCGGCGGCGCCGCCGCCGGCGCCGCCGCGGCCGCCCGGCGACGCCGCGGGCCTCGACGACCTCGACCTCAAGATGGGCGACCTCATGACCGTCGTCGCCGCCGTGCGCCGCGACCGGGGCCTCCCGCCGCCGGACGCGGGGCCGCCGGGCGACCCGCGCGCGCTCCGGGACGTCGTCGAGCGCAACTACGCGAAGCCGTGGCAGGTCAACGCGCAATTGGCGCCGCGCGCGGCCGCGGCAAACGACGCCGACGCCGAGCGCAAGCGCGGCGACTACGACCGGCCCTGGCGCGTCGCCGCGCCCCGGGCCCCCGCGGCCGCCGACGCGCCGCCCGCGCCGCCCGCGGCCGCCAAGGCCGACCAGCCGCCGCCGCCGCCGGGCTCGCGCTTCTCCGACGTCGAGATCGCCGAGGAGATCGCGGCCCGCGAGGCCATCGGCGCGTCGACGAAGAGCTGCCGCGCGTCCCTCGACGGCGAGTACGACGCCAACGACGAGAACCGCACGCCGCAGATCCCCTCCTAGGGGCCGTTGCTCCCTCCAGGAGGACGGCGGCGCTCCCCCCCCTCCCCTCGTTCCCGGAACGGGGGCCGCCTAAGTCGCACGGTCCCCGCGCCTAGGCCGCCGCGAGGAGGAGGAGGCGCGGGGGCGCCGCGCGGCGCCGCCGCCGCGCGTCGTCGCTCTGCCGCTTCCGAAGCGCCCCGAGGAAGAGCGCGCGGTCCCGGTCGCGCCGGGGCCCGTCGCCGACGAGGAAGCGCGCGAGGAAGGCCTCGGCCTCGCGGCTGCCGCGGCTCGCGGCGCGCGCGAAGCACTCGTAGGCCGACCGCCGCGACTGCGGCACGTGCGCGCGCGCCGCGGGCGAGCAGAGGCCGAGGTGGCCCCGGCCGAGGAGGACGAAGGCCCGCGCCGAGCCGGACGCCGCGGCGTTGCGGAGCGCCACGACCGCGGCCTCGAGCGCGCCGGCCGTCGCAGAGTCCGCGACGAGCGTCCGCCGCGCGATCGCGCACGCCGCGTCCGGCTGGCCCCGGTCCGCGGCCCGCCGCAGCCAGCGCCGCGCGAGCTTCTCGCGCCCCATGGCGTGGTGGAGCGACGCGAGGTCCGCCATGGCCTCGGCGTCGTCGCCGTCCCGCGCCGCGCGGCGGAGCAGCTCCGCGCTCGCGGCGACGTCGCGCCGCGCGCCCCGGCCGGAGGCGAACGCGGCCGCGAGGCGCCGCATGGCCAGGGCCGACCCGCGCTTCGCGCCGAGCTTGAACCAGCGGCAGGCGACGACGTGGTCGCCGGCGCTCTCCGCGAGGACGCCGCAGCGCGCCATGGCGTCGCAGGACCCCAGCATGGCCGCGCGCTCGTACCAGTCGCGCGCGGCGTCGACGAGCTGGCGCTCGTGGAGCGCGTAGCGGCCCGCGAGGCGCATCTTGTGCGCGGCGACGTTGTAGCACGCGTCGGCGTCGCCCTTGGCCGCGTCGCGGTCGTACCACGTCGCCGTGCCCGCCTCGCACTCGGCCTCGGACGGCTTCCACCACGTCACGAGCGAGTAGCGCGCGCCGCCGCGGACCGCGACGCCGTGGCGCAGCTTGTAGGTGTGGCAGACGGCGTCGCCGCCCGCGTCGAGCCGGACGAAGCAGCGGCTCTTCGCCGAGGACGTGGGCTGCACGTAGTAGCCGCCGTCGTAGTCGCCGCGGCCGTTGAGCGCGACGACCAAAGTGACGGCCGCGTGCGCGTCGAAGTGCGCCGGGTGCACGCGGCGCTCGCCGGGCAGGTAGCGCCGCACGAGCGCGTAGCAGAGGGCGAGCCGCCGGTGGCCGAAGCGCCGCCGCCTACCAGATGTGTCGGTGACGATTTCCCTTAGTTTTCAAGGTCAAAATCTCTCGAAAATCGTCGCGGCCGCGGGACGCCGGCCGCCGCAGGAAGGGCGCCGCGCGCGTCTCGAGCGCCGCCTCGAGCGCGCGGCAGAGCGGCAGGTTCAGCGGGCCCGACTGGCGGTCGAAGACGGGCGCCTCGAAGGTGGGCCGGCCGTCCACCGAGTCCGGCGTCGTGTTGAAGCTGAGCTGGCGCCGCGCGATGGCGAGCACGCGGGCGCACTCGTCGGGCCGGAGCAGCCCCCGGAGCCGCGCCGCGGGCCCGCACCGCGGCGGCAGCTCCGCCGTCGCCGCCGCGAAGGCGTCGCCGCAGGGGACGACGACGCGGCGCTCCGCCTGGAACCCGAGGACGCCGTAGGCATGGGGCCCGAGAGGCCCCATCTCTTGGCTGGGCTGGGCTGCAAGTAGGCTACCAATTGAATCCATATATATATGCGTGAGTTGTGCGCGGGGGTTCCCCCGCCGTACGAAAATTAAATGGCTGTCGTCGCGCAAGCGGTGCAGAGGGAAGCATTGACACGGGAATGAGTGGCTCAGCACGCGCGAGCGCGCCCGAAGGGCGCGCTCTCGCCGCGCCGCAGGCAAGCCCCCCCGGCAGGGGCAAGTAAGCCGTAGGCGTCTTGTGATGAACTAAATTTTACCTTGATGCTACACGAGCCTGAACCTCCAGAAGTCCTCCAGAACTCCACGGAGGTGTGTGTTTCTCCGATGTTTATTCAGATGGCCGCGCCCGCGCCGCGGAACTCCTCGTCGCGGTTGGCGTAGTACTCGCGGGCCCAGCGCTCGTTCCAGGCGCGGCCGTAGGCGCCGACCTCGTAGGAGAGGTAGCACTGGACGTCGGAGCAGTAGCCGCGCACGGGCCGCCGCGGGAGGCGCCGCGCGGCGAAGGCGATGAGCCGCGGCCCGCCCGGGCAGGCCGCGAGGCATCTCGCCAAGAGCGGAATCCTCAGCGCCCAGCCGAAGTAGTAGAGGAGCACGTCCGCGTTCGCCGAGACGTCGAAGTTCGCCGGCCGCAGGATGCAGCGGTCCAGGCAGGGCACGAGCGTCGCGAAGTGGGGCTGGAGCTTCCGCAGGTGCGGCCGCAGCAGCGGCAGGTGCGGCCCCAAAGCGTCCAACCGCGAGATGAAGTAGGGCAGGAACGGCAGGAACGTGTCGGCCCACTGCTTCTCCTCGTCGGCGTAGAGCAGCAGCTCGTCGATGTGGCGCATGAGCGCCCCCACGTGGGGCGCGAGCGCGTCGATGTTGTCGAGCACCCAGGGCACGTGCGGCTCGATCTCGTCGAAGCGGTCTAAAATGCCGTCGAGGTGGGGCTCGATCTCGCCGAGGTGGTCGCCGTCGAGGATGGCGTCCATGATGCCCGGCACGTAGTTCTCCAATCTGTCTAATCGGCTCAGGATGCCCGGCGCGTGCGCCGCGAGCAGCGGGCTGTACTTGACGAGCGACGCCAGCCGCGCGTCGCGCTCCTTCGGCGGCAGCAGGATGCCCCGGCCTAAAATGCGCAGCGACGCCGACGTCTCGTTGATCACGAAGGCCGTCGGGTCCGGCGACGCGTCGTAGCGCCGCCGGAAGACACTGAAGCTGTCCCTGAACGCGCCGCTGAACGCGCCCCAGACGTCGCGCGCGGTGACGGGGCTCCGCTCCTCCGGCGGCGCGCAGCAGATGAGGCGCCGCTCGAGGCCCTCGAGCTCCACGCGCTGCGCGGCGATGGACCGCCGCAGCTCCTCGCACCGGTAGCGCGCCGCGGCCTCCCACTTGACGGGCTCGAGCGGCAGCTCGTCGTCGAACGCGTCGGCGAGCGCGAGGCGCCGCACGACCCAGGCGCGCGGCGCGCGCACCCCGGCGCGCGGCGGCCGCCGGAGGCCGCCCCAGCCCGCGACCTCCGCGACGAAGGCCAGTCCAACTAAAGTCGGACGCATCGTCGGCCGCCGGAGGCCGCCCCAGCCCGCGACCTCCGCGACGAAGGCCAAACCGAGCCACCGAGTTCGACGCATCCCGTCTAGACGCCTGCAACTTTGAGGAACCTGCTCGAGCAGCCCGATAGCAGCCCAGGTGGCCACGACGAGATGGACAAGTCGCGGTGGAGGGCCTGCATGGCCGCCGTGCGCGACGGCGACGAGGCGGACGCGCTCGCCGCCGTGGCGTTCTGGGCCCGCGAGGCGCCGCGCGTCGACCGGGCGTCCCTCGCGACGGCGACGGCGACGCTCCTGACGGCCCTGCGGCGGCCCGAGCCGGCCCTGGAGCGCGCCGCCGCCGCGGCGCTCGGCGCCATCGCGGAAACACCGGCCCTCGGCGACGACCTCGCGGCCATCGTCGAGCCCTTCGCCCGGGCCCAGTGCGGCCGCGTGCCGGCGAACGCGGCCGACGGCGCGCGGCGCGTCCGCAGCGTCGCGGCCGCGCTCGCGGCGCTCGCCGAGGGCGGCGGCGCGTCCGCGCTCCTGGAGCCGCTCCTCGAGGCCTACGTGCCGCGCCTGCGGCGGTCCGCGGCGCGCTTCGACGGCGGTTTGTTGGCCGCGGACGCCGTCGCGCGGCTCGCCGCCGCGGCCGCGCGGCGGTTCCCCGGTGCCGCGTGGCTCGCGGCCGACGGCGGCGCGCTGGACGCCGTCGCCGAGGGCGTCGCCCGGGCCATCGAACACCTCTTCGAGGACGGCGCGTCGCCGGAGTTGCACTACGCGACGCCCCCGCCCGCGCCCGGCGGCGGCGCGTACGTCGTCGCGGCGGACGAGGCCGTCGTCTTCGCGTCGCCGCGCGGCGTCGCCGCGGGCGCGCTGCCGCGGCACAAGCGCGTCACGGCGACGGCCTGGGACGGCCCGGACTGGGCGCGCGTCGAGGCGCCCGTGGCCGGCTGGGTGCGCTTCGCGGATCTCGCGCCGCGGTCCGAGGCCATCCATTCGTACGTCGCGGCGTCGCCGCTCTGGCGCCAGACCTGCGGCGCCGTCGCGACGCGCAACGGCGTCGCGCGCTGCGAGGCGGCCCTGGCGAAGCGCGCCGGCGACGCCGCCGCGCGGCGCGTCGCGTCGCCGCGCGCGAGGGCCGCGCTCCGGGCTCTCGCGGACGCCGGCGTCGAGCTCCGAGTGCTCCGGTGCCACGCTGTGTGGAAATCAAATATTCAACCAGACTTCAATGTGCGCGTCATCGAACGATTTGGACAAGACTCTTTCGCTGTGCTTCGAGAACTCGACGAGAGCAATCGATCCGTCCAAAAATCAGCCGAATCGACTTCGATGTGATTGAGATAGAGAGTTCTGAAGTTTGGCGGGGACCCCCCAAACCAGCGGTTGATTTCCACACAGGTGCCACGCGAACCTGGCGGCCCGGGGCCTGCCGCCGCGGCTCTGGGGGCGCCACCGCGACTTCGCCGGGCGCGGCGTCGGCGCCGTCGACGCGCGGGACCTCGCCGCGTTCCGGGGGTTCGTCCGGCGCCACGAGCCCTGCGTCGTCTGCGGAGCCGCGGACGTCGAACATCGTTTCGATAGTGGCGTCCAGTGGGCCGACCTCGGCGACGACGCCTACCTCGCGAAACGCTGCGGCCACCGGGCCGTCGGCGTGCGGGGCGCCTACGTCGACGGCGGCGGGGCCGCCGCGGGCCGCGTCTTCGCCGGGGCGGGAAAAGAGAGCGAAATTTCCAACTTCCTATCTCGGCCGTTTTCCACTCGTTTTGGCTGACTTTTGGACGAGCGATCATCCCTTGGAACGGCCTCGAAGCGTGGATGCTTTCCCCGGAACGCGCGCGCGCGGAACACTCACGTTGAAGCGACGTTGCATCACTCTTTTCCCGCCCAGGTCTTCGCGAGCTCGGCGACGGCGCGCGCGCCGCTCGCGGCCGCGCTCGCGGAGCGGCGCCGCGCGGACGCCGCGGGCGAGGCCGCGGCCTTCTACGCGGCGAAGATCCCCCTCGCGGACCACCTGCCGGAGCTCGACGACGACGTGCGGGCCGTGCTCCGCGACGCGCGGCGCGGAAACCGACCGCCGGGGTCCCGACCGAACTTCGAACCTCTCGAGGCCGAGTCGATTCGGCTGATTTTTGGACGCATCGATGGCTCTCCTCGAGTCCTCGAGGCACGGCCGAAGAGGTCGCGTCGAAACCGTCGCTCACATGGAAGATGTTCGCGCAGGCAAGGCGCAGGACCGGGGCGAACCCGCGTTCGTCGACGCGGCCGCGGCGTGCTTCGGCGCGCCGCACGCGCGGGGGCTCTTCGCCTACGTCGCCCCGGGCGGCGCCGTCACGGGCGCCCACGTCGACCCCCTCGAGAACGTGCTCCTCGTGCTCGCCGGGTCCAAGCGGCTCCGGCTCTTCCCGCCGCGGTCAGGGCAGCAAAAGAGAGCGAAATTCCCAACTTCAAAGGCTCATATCTCGGCCGTTTTCCACTCGTTTTGGCTGATTTTTGGACGAGCGATCATCTCTCGGAACGGTCTCGAAGCGTAGATGCTTTTTCCGGAACGCACGCGCGCGGAACACCCACTTTGAAGCGACGTTGAATCACTCTTGTGCTGCCCAGGCCGCGGTGCGCGCGGAACCTACAGCCGGCGAACGCGCCGCTCTTCACCGTCGCGGGCCTCGACGCCCACCCCTTCTCCGACGCCTTCCTCGCCGACCCGGGCCTGCGGTGCGACTGCCTCGACGTCGTCGTAGGCGCGGGCGACGCGCTCTACGTGCCCGCGGGCTGGTGGCACGCGGTCGCGTCGCTCGGGCCGTCCGTGATCCTCAACTTCTGGCGCGACCTCCACCCGGCGAAGACCCGGGACGCCGAGGACGACGACGGCGGGTAACTCGCTAGCACGCGCCGTCGTCGCGCGCCCTCCGCGGCGGGGGCGCGACCGGCGGCGCGGCCTCCCCCCCGCCCCCGCGCGTCGAGGAATGCGGCGACGCCGACGATCGCGAGCTGGACGAGGCCCGCGACGGCGCTCGGGAGCCACGCGGGCCAGGGGTCCCGGTCCAGGAAGCAGTCGTTCGCGAAGATGATCCCGCAGCCGACGATGCTCAGGTTGTACGTCGCGTAGGACAGCGCGCCGCTGTTCCCGCGGCGCCACGTCTCGGCGAGCTGCGGCACGTAGGCGACGACGACGCACAGCGAGCTCAGCAGCGACATCGCGCCGCCCATGTAGAGCGCGACGCTCCGGCACGCGCCGCCGAGGGACACGGCGACCGCCGCGGCGAGCGCGGCGGCGGCGAACGCGACGGACGCCGCGGCGCCGCGCCGCTTCGCGCGGTCCCGCTCGAGCGCCGCGACGACGCGGACGAGGGCGGCGTACGCGAAGCAGCAGGCGAGCTGCTGCGCGAGGTCGAGGAGCTGCGCGAGGCACGCGACCGAGGCGCACGCGCGCATGATGCGGAACTTGACGACGACGATGCCTACCGAACGCGACGATGGTCCTTCGTTGTCCCGGTCAAAAGCTCTCGAAAATCGTCGCGGCCGCAGGACGTCGTCCCGGTCAAAAAGCTCTCGAAGCCGCAGGACGCTGGACGATGCCGGCCGCGCACGCCGCCTGGTAGGCGACGATGAACGACAGCGTCGGCAGGCTCACGCCCTCTGCTGAGTTATGCCGCAGAATCTTGGCGAACTGCGGCAGCGGCGTCAGGATGGTCCCCACGACGAGCAGGACGCCCACGACGATACCCGCCGTGCCCACGTCCGTGTCCGCGTCGACGCACGCGACGCTCGACATCGCAATCGGGCAGCGTTTCCGAGGCATCATTGAAGGCAACAACGAATCGATGTTGAGTGCGCGTGCTACGACGATGGCCGCACTAGCCCTCCGAGTTTGAAGCCGTAGCCGCACATGGCGCGCGCCCTGCTCCTCTCGAGCCTCCTCGCGACCACAGCGTCCTTCCAGTGGCTCGTCGTCGGCGGCGGCCCGCAGGGCGTGCACGTCGCCGGCCGGCTCCTGCGCGAGGTCGACGGCCTGGCCCTCGACGACGTCTGCATCGTCGACGACGAGGACGCGCTGCTGCGCAAGTGGAAGACGCGCGCCGAAAACACGGGCATGCGCTACCTGCGGTCGCCGGCGTCGCTGCACCTCGGCGACGGCGAGCGCGAGCTCCTGCGCCACGCGGAAGCCCACGCGCCTCGAATCGATAAGCGCGAGCCGCCCTTCGCGCCGGACTACGCGCGGCCGCGCCTCGACGTCTTCAACGACCACTGCGACTTTCTGGTGGACGCGCACGGCCTCGCCGCGGCGCACCGCCGCGGCGAAGTCGTGGCCGTCGCCGACGCCGGCGACGCCTACGCGGTCACCGTGCGGCGCGCCGGCGGCGACGAGACCCTGCGCGCGGCGAACGTCGTGCTCGCGGTCGGCGGCGGCGCGCCGGCGTACCCGGCCTGGGCCCGAGGCTCCGCGGCGGTCTCGCACGTCTTCGACGACGGCTTCGCGCTCGGCGGCGGCCGCGTCGCCGTCGTCGGCGGCGGCCTCTCGGCCGCGCACCTGGCCCTGCGGCTCGGCGGGCGCGTCGACGTCGTCTGCCGCCACGGCCTGCGCGAGCAGCAGTTCGACACGCACCAGGACTGGATGGCCACGGCCGCCGCGCGGCGGCTCATGGGCAAGGGGCCCACGGACCGCCAGGTGAGCTTCGCCGGCATCGCCGACGTCGCCGAGCGGCGGCGCGTCGTCCGGCGGGAGCGGCGCAGCGGCACGGTGCCCGCGGCCGCGAGCCGCGGCCGGCGCGGGCTCAAGTACGCGATCGCGTCCGGCGACGTCCGCTGGCACGAGGCGGACGTCGCGGCGCTGCGCGACGCGGCGGGCGGCGTCGTCCTCGAGCTGACGACGGGCGCCGCCGTCGCAGCGGAACGCGTCGTCCTCGCGACGGGCTTCGGCGCCGGGCCGCCGGCGCGGCCGCTCGTCGACGCCGCCGCCCGCGGCCTCGGCGCGGCGCTCGCGCCCTGCGGCTACCCCGTCCCGGACGCGAAGCTCCGCTGGCACGACCGCGGGTCGGGCGCGCTCTACGTCGCCGGCGCGCTCGCGGAGCTCGAGCTCGGGCCGTCCGCGCGGAACCTCGCCGGCGCGCGCCTCGCGTCGGAGCGCATCGTCGCCGCTGCGCGGGGGGTGTCGTAACGGGTGGTTCGCCGGTGTTCAACATAAATTGTTGAAGCTATGTTGAATCTTATTGCACTTCCACAACCTTAAACGCCAGAGCGCCCCCAAACGCCAGAGGCGTCGTGCAGTCTCGTGCATCAACGCGGAGTAGCACGGAGTAGCAAGCATCATGTCGAAGCGCTTGCTGCTCGTCGCGTTGGGCGTCTGCGCCGGCAGCGCCTACAGCCTGCCGGCGCTGCGCCCCAAGGGCCTCCGGACGCGCCACACGCTCCACGCACCGACGACGCACGCGCTCGTCGCCGCGGCGACGCCCGCGGCCGGCGACGACGCGCCGCCCGCCGCCGAGCTCCGCGGCGGCGCGTCGGGCGAGCCCGGCGGCACGCTCGTGCTGCTCGGCGCGGTCGTCATGCTCTTCGTGAGCGTGCACCGCAGCCTCTTCAGCGTCGGAATCGTGCCCATCCAGAAGGAGCTCGGCCTCGGCGCGTCGACGGTCGGCGTGCTCCAGTCGGCGTACCTGGCGGGCTACGCGCTCACGAACGCGCCCGGCGGCGCCATCGCGGACCGTTTGGGCGGCGCGCCGGTCATGCTCGCGTGCCTCGCCGCGTGGTCCGTCGCGGTCGCGCTCATGCCCGTCGCGGCGGCGTCGCCGGCGCCCGTCGCGGCGCTCGTCGCCCTGCGGCTGCTCTTCGGGCTCGCGAGCGGGCCGGCGCTGCCCGGATCGCTCGCGGTCGTGTCGCGGTGGCTGCCGCTCGCGAAGCGGTCGAGCGGCATCGCCGACGTCTTCGTCTTCTTCAACGCGGGCAACGCCGCCGGCCTGCTGCTCGGCGGCCTGATCCCCGTGCTCGGGTGGCGGGCGCTCATGGTCGGCGGCGGCGCGGCGGGCCTGGCCTGGGGCGCCGGCGGGCTCGCGCTCGCGAAATCGATCGCGGCGAAGCACGACCCGCCCGAGGACGACGCGCCCGCGGCCGCGTCGTCGCCGTCCGGCGGCCTCTCGCTGCGCCAGGTCGGCCAGCTCGCGGCGCTCACGCACGTCCACAACTGCCTCAACTGGTCCTTCTTCTTCATGCAGGCGTGGCTGCCGACGTACTTCTCGCAGGAGCTCGGCCTCGAGCTGTCCAAGTCCGCGGGGCTGAGCGCGCTGCCCATGGTCACGATGGCGCTCGGGTCCAAGGTCGGCGGCCAGGCGGCGACGAGGCTCATCGCCGAGGGCTGGGCGCCCTTCGACGTGCGGCGGCTCATGATCGCGATCTCGTCCTTAATCCCCGCGGCCGCGCTCCTCGCCCTCGGCGGCGTGGCGGACGCGGGCGTCGCCGTCGCGTGCCTCGTCCTCGCCCTCGGGGCCCACTCCTTCTCCTCCGCGGGCTACCACGCCCACATCGCCGACGTCGCGCCGAGCTCCTCGGGCAAGATCCTCGGCTTCACGAACACGGTCGGCGTCTTCGTCGGCATCGTCGCGAACGTCGTCACGGGCCGGGTCCTCGAGGCGACGGGCTCCTTCCGGGCCTGCTTCGCGCTCGCGGCGGCCATCTACGCCTCCGAGTTCGCCGTTTTCTTCGGCTTCGTCCGCGGCGGCCGCCTCGTCTAGGGGCCACCTTCGGATACATTCAATTCGCAGAGTCGACCATCATCCTGGAGGACTAGCCGGGACTCTCCGGGATGGAGGTTGCTGCGCTCTAGGAAGTGTGCTAGGTGCGTCCAAACTTTCGTCCAAGAAAGTCGAAGGACTGCAACGTCGCGGCGCTGCGGCCGGTGTTGCCCATTTTTACAGACGCGTCGGCATTCCTCCGACATGGGGCAGCCCTAGCATACGCCCGGTCGCCGTCGTTTAGGATGGTCGTGGGCCACCGACCCGTCGTCGCCGTCGTCGTCGCCGCCCTCGTCGGCGCGTGCGCCCTGGCGGTCCTGGGCCGCGGGGCGCGCCGGCAAGCCCAGGCGTCGCTCCGCGCGTCGGCCATCGGCACGAACGTGCCCATGTCGGCGAAGAAGGTGGCGATGGTGGAGCTCATCGCCCAGTTCGAGCTCGCCCAGGACTGCTTCGAGTCCATGGCCTACGCCTACTGCGCCTACAGCGTCTGCACCGTGGCCGAGGAGAACCCGACGCACCCGACGGCGGAGCCGACGGCCGCGTACTGCTCCTGCGTCATCGAGAACGGCGCGCCGGACATCGACCTGAGCGTGGACACGGGCCTGGCCCAGTTCCTGTTGGACCGGTCCAACACGTTCGTGGCCGTCGTGGAGGGCGTCGCGTCCGGGAGCCTGTCCGTCGTCGCGGGCGCGAACCAGGGCAGGACAAGGGTGATTCAACGTCGCTTCAACGTGAGTGTTCCGCGCGCGCGCGTTTCGGGAACAGCACCCACGCTTCGAGAGCGCTCCGAGAGATGATCGCTCGTCCAAAAATCAGCCGAAACGAGCGGAAAACGACCGAGATAGGAGCCTTTGAAGTTGGGCATGTCGCACCCTTTTCCTGCCCAGGCGCGAACCAGATCTGCTCGTTGACCAAGGACGGCGGCCTCTTCCCGGAGCTCGGCGCCGACCTCGTGTCCTGGCCCGTGGGGCCGGACCCGTCGACGGCCGCCGCGTCCCAGTTCGTCGCCCGCGCGGAGACGCTCTGCGCGGAGGTGACGATGGTGACCTGTATCGGCGCGCCCTGCTGGGTCGACTCGCGCGTCGACTCGCTCAACGCGACGTGCCTCTGCGCGCTGCTCCCGAAGCGGCGCGACGTCTACATCGCGCCGTCCTACGGGTTCCTGGACCACGTCACGTCGGCCGTCGGCGGCGGCGGCGACCAGTGCGACCTCTTCACGGGCTCGTCGACGTGCGCGGTCAACGGCGACTCGCTCATGGCCACGTGGCTCGCGGCGCCCCAGCTCACGGCCGAGGACTCGAACAGGTTGGCCGCGGCCGCGCTCGACTCCTACGACACGCTCGCGGTCCGCGCGGGCTCGAGCGCGTTCCCGTGCCGGGGGCTCGTCGAGGCGTCGCTGCCCTACGACGACGACCCCACCCACGACGACGGCGACGTCGACGACGGCGGACGACGGCTCTACGACGACCTCGTCGACGACGGCGCGGCCGGCCTGGACGACCCCGCGGACGACGGCGCGGCCGGCCTGGACGACCCCGCGGACGACGGCGCGGCCGGCCTGGACGACCCGGGCCTCGTCGACGACGGCGCGCTGCCTTAGCCCCCCCCTCTTGTGTTGAATTAACTGCTTCTCTTATTGCGTGAGCGCGGCGACGGCGAGCGTCGCGGCGCCGACGACCATGGGGATCTTGCGCTCCGACGTGAGCATGCCCGCACGAGCCGGTTCGCCCAGCTCCGCCCAGGGAGGCGCGAAGCTCTCGGCGGCGAGCTGCCCGGCGTAGAGCAGCGCGAGGCCCGCGAGCGCCGGTCGCGCGAAGCCCGCCGCCGCGGCGGCGGCGCAGAGCCAGCCCGCGATGGCCACGCCGATGCCGGAGACGACGAGCGCCGGCCGCAGGCCGAGCGCGCACGCGGTCGCCTGCTGGAGCCCGCCGATGTAGGCCATGATGACGCCCGCGTAACTCGCGAACGCCGCGGGCGCGACGTCGAAGCTCGCGCAGGCGACGTCGCCGACGGGGAAGACGGCCGTGCCGAGGTAGAGCAGGTTCCGCGCCGTGAGCTGCGCCGGGCCGCGGTCGTCGGCGCCGCTCGGTGTCGCGCGCTTAGGCGTCGACGGCGGCCGGCGCGGCGCCGGTCGGAAGGCATGCGCGGAGCAGCACAGCGCGACGAGCACGAGGCAGCGGTTCTGCGGCGCCATTGGGTTCTTGCGCTTGCTACGACGTTATAGCACTCGACCACCTCGCACCTCGGCGCCTCAAGAGCTTTGGTTGCAGGTGTTCAGCCGCGGCTAGGCTTGGAGTCCCAGTGCCGCAAGGCCTGGTGCCGCAAACCCCCCCGGGGAGGCCCTCTAGCTGTTAACCTCTCCTAGCAGGCTCCTAGCAAGGTAAGAGCAGCGATCGCCGACCGATTAGTGGCAAACGATGTGAGCAGCCAAGCCTCGACAAGCATCGAGACGCTGGCAATTGCTGCGCGAGGACCTTTGTGAATGCGCCGCGTGCTGCTCGCATACTTGGCGGCAACCACAGCGATGAGCACCTTCCAATCCGTGAGCGACGACAGCGAGGGCGGCGCGCTCGTCGTCTCGTCTGGCGGCGACGTCGAGGCGCTCGCCGGCCCGCTGCCGCTCGACGGCGACGGCCTGCTCGCCCTCGACGTGGCCCTCGCGCTCGCGGACGGGTCGCTGCTGCCGCTGGTCCCGCGCGGCAGCGCGCTGCCCGCGTCCGCCGAGGCGCTGCTGACGACCGCGGCCGACGGCCAGACGGCGATCGACGCGCTCGTCGTCGCGGCCGCGCGGCCGACGACGGCGGGCGCGGCGCGCCTCGCGCTGGCGTCGCACGCCGTCGCGCCGGCGCCGCGGGGCCGCGCGCAGGTCCTCGTCCGCGTGCAGTGCCGGCCGCGGCTCCTGCGCGCGCGGTTGAGCGACGTCGGCCCGCCGGACCGCGCGACGTCCGCGACGGCGCTCGACGCCGCGCCGCCGCCCGCGGCGCCTGCGACGCGCCTCCCGGCGCGCTGGCGCGCCGACGTCGGCGCGCCGCACGCGGCCTACTACTTCGCCGGCGTCGCCGTGGAACTCGAGCAGCGCGCGCCGCGCGCCGACGGCGCGGCGCCCGAGGGCGTCGGCGGCGACGTCGACGCGAGCTACACGGCGTCCCGCGTCTGGCCCGCGGCCTACGAGCTCGCGCGCCACCTCGAGGGCGGCGCCGTCGCCGGCGCGCGCGTGCTCGAACTCGGCGCGGGCGCGGGGCTCTGCGGCCTCGCGGCCGCCGCGGCCTTCGGCGCGGCGGCGGTCGTGCTCAGCGACCTGCCGGAGAACCTGCCGCTCCTCGAGCGCAACGCGAAGCGCAGCGGCGCCGCCGGCGTCGCCGTCGTCGCGCTCGACTGGCTCGCGCCGGACCTGCCGGAGGACCTGCCGCCGGCCGACGTCGTCCTCGCGGCGGACTGCGTCTTCTGGCCCCACCTCTTCGACCCGCTGCTCGACACGCTCGGCCGGCTCCGGCGGCGCAACCCGGACGCGACGCTCCTCATCAGCTGCACGCACCGCCTCGGCCGCACGGCCGAGTTCCTCCGGCGCGTCGCGGCCCGGGGCTGGGTCGCCGCCGCCGCGCCGAGGCCCGACCGGCCGGGCGCGGCGAACACCGACGTCTACGAGCTCCGCGTTCCGTAAAAATTAACTTGAACATACTCATTTTCTTCAACTTACATGTATCAGTTTCGGACTCAGCAACTGTACGGGTGCTGAGCAGGTCTGATGAGCCATGGGCTCCGCCGTGAGCTGTCCGACAATCTCCAAGGAAGAGGCCATTTTGGAACAGGCCCTCGGCGACCGCATAGCCTCGGTGCGCCGCGGCAATGCGCGGCAAGCTTGCTTTGTGGTAATTGCGGCGCAGGGGGCTACGGGGTAGGCGTGGGGTAGGGCATGACAGTGTAGTTAGGCGTCCGCGGGGCCGGCCGCGTCCTGCGCCACGTCCGCCCGCTTCACCGCCTCCGCGTCGACGGTGGCCGCGCCGCCGTCGTCGTTTGCGTCTTCCGCCCGCCGGACCCGACGCCGCAGCCCCGCGACGCAGGAGCGCAACTCGTCGCCGCTAAAGTTCGCGAGGATGATCAGCCAGACCGCGATGAGAAGCGTGGACGCGAGGAGCACGACGAGGAGGCTCGCGAACACCTTGCCCGAGAAGACGCCGTCGTGCTGCTCGAGATTGTCCGTCGCGAAGACCATCAGCGCGTAGAAGAAGACGAGGACGAGCTCGGTCTGCGCCACTTCCGAGACAACGCCGTCGTCCTCCTCGACGTAGGGCTCGTAGTGGCTGAAGACGCGGTAGGAGATGAGGCTGCCGAGGAGCCCGATGGCGATCTGGGAGATGGAATCGGGCACGAACATGGACAGGCACCCCGTGAGGAAGATGCGGCGGGAGACCTCGTAGACCACGGAACGGGTCGAGGGCGTCGAGCGCGTAGTCGCGGAGCTCCGCGCTGGACAGCTGCATGCCCGTGGCGACGCGGTGCTGGTTGGCGAGGACCTTGAGGCGCAACTGCGTCGCGCGGAGGCCGCCGTTGGCGTTCGCTGAGAGCGCGGCGAGGTCGCGCCGGACGTCGCTTGCGTCCCCGGCCTTGTACTCCTCGATGAGCGAGAGGAAGATGCCCTTGGACGAGATGTCGCCCTTGGCCTGGATCAGCAGGTCGACGTAGACCTGCGCCGTGCCCTCCAAGCGCGTCTCGAGCGCGTACATGAGGGCGCGGGCGATGTAGCTCTTCTTGGCTCCGGAGCCGGTCCCGCTCGGCAGGAACGAGTCGTAGAACTTTGCCCGCGAAGTTGTCCTCCTCGTACTTGCGGAGGAAGGCGAGCGTCGGCGGCCCGCGCGCCGTCAGGCCGCGCACCCAGGCGCGGAGCGCGATGGCGCCGGCGCTGTTGGTGTCGGGCGGGTTGAACGCGGGGAGTTTGTCAAACATTTTCGCGAAATTTGACGTGTCGGTCTCCGTCTCGTCGGTCATGATGACGGCTGGTAGACGCGGAGCGTCTACTGCAGTCCCAGCGCCCCGAGTGGAACGGGGCGCGACAGGAGGGGGCTGCGCCGCGGGCGGGGGCCAGTGTGGAATTCAAAATAAAATCCGAATAGTCCTGGGTCAAAAAGTTTGCACGATCAGTGCAATGTTGAAGTTACATCTCTACGTTTCCCCGGCCCGAACCCGCGACCCGCGCCTGAAACACGTCGGAATCGATGCGATTATACAATTTAACGAGCCGTGGTTGACTCAGTATGATATATTCGACCGATTTTGCCGAGGGTCGAACCAAATTGAAGCTCACCGGACCACGCGCGCGCGCGGTCTACGTACAGAGTAGTAACGCGTCCCGCCTCAGAATAATAAATAATACTTCTATTGGGGGGTCCTACGCCTATGGTTGAATTCCACACTGGCGGGGGCCTCTGGGGGGTCCCGGCCGGCGGACTCGGAGGGGCTGCCGCTCCGGGCCGTGTCGCGGCGGAATCCGACTCGGGATTCGCGGCGGCGTGGCGCGGGGCGGCGCTCCGGCGGAGAGCGGCGCTCAGCCGGAGCTGCGGCGGTGCTGGGGTTAGCAGGCTTACCCTGTGATCACAGGGCCGCAGAAAAGCAGCGTTAGTGGTCCATAGCCCAGACTCGGGGTGTGAGTGTTATAGGATACGGGGGATACCGCCGGGGGTATCTCTGGGTCCGCCCGCGTCCATCGCCGGCGCGGCCCGCGTGCCGCTGAACGTGGACGGCGAGCCGCAGTCCGAGCGCCTCACGACGGCCGACGAGTTCGCGGCGAAGCTCGCCGCGGCCGGCGTCGAGCTCCCCGCGGACCGGCCCATCGTGACGCACTGCGGCTCGGGGGGCCGCGGGGGCAAGGCCGCGGCCATCCTCCAGGGCCTCGGCTACGACGCGCACAACGGCGGCTCGCCCGCGAACGTCGCCGCGGCGCTCGCGATCGCCGGCGCGACCTCCCCCTAGCGCCTTCGCGCGGCCGAAGCGGCAACCGACCCTAGGGAGCACCCTTAGACGGACTTGGCCTCGTTGAGGCGCGCGAGGAACGAGTGGCCGCCGCCGCCGCCCGAGCCGCCGGAGGGCCCCGCGATGGCCGCGGAGTGGCCGCCGCGCGCGGTGTCCCGGATGGAGAAGAGCGACGCGAGCAGCGTCTCCGTGGCCATGCGGTCCGCGCGGTGCTCCGCGAGGCACTGCTCGACGACGCGGCCGAAGACGTCCGCGACTGAGCCGCCGCAGTCGCCGCGGACGCGCGCGTCGAGCAGCGCGGCGCCGTCGAAGCCCTTCGAGCGCGCGTAGGACGCGAGGTCCGGCGGCGAGCGCGCCGGCTCGAAGGCCGCCGCGCCCGTCATGAGCTCCAGCAGCACGACGCCGAGCGAGTAGACGTCGGAGCCCGGCCCGACCTTGCCCGTCCGCGCGTACTCCGGGCAGATGTAGCCCCAGGACCCCTTGAGGTTCATCGTCGTCATCTGGCTCGCCCGGTCACTCATGAGGCGCCCGAGGCCGAAGTCGCAGAGCTTGGCGACGACGGGCGGCTCCGTGAGCAGCACGTTCGCGGTCTTGACGTCGCCGTGGACGATGGCGCCCTCGGGCCAGGCGTGGAGGAAGTTCAGCCCCCGCGCGACGTCGATGGCGACGCCGAGCCGCAGCGACCACGTCAGCGGCGCGTAGGTGTCGTTCGCGCAGGCCAGCCGCTCCTCGACGGAGCCGCCGCGCGCGAGCTCGTAGACGAGGCAGGGCCCCTCGGTCTCGTAGCCCAGGAGCAGGATCAGGTTCCGGTGCGTCGCGCGCGCGAGGAAGCGCACCTCGTTCGCGAACTCGGCCGCGCCCTGCATCGACGCCGCGTCCAGCCGCTTCACCGCGACGTCCAACCCCGCGAGGCGCCCCCGGTAGACCGCGCCGAAGCCGCCGCGGCCCAGGAGCCGCGCGTCCGAGAAGCCGTCCGTCGCCGCCGCCAGCGCGGCGGCGTCCATCTGCTCGAGGTGCGAGTTGGCCTGCGCGGGGAACGACCGGTGAAAAAAACGCCCCGTCCGGCGAAACCGTCGAACCTCTCTCTCTCGGTCACATCACGGTCGTTTCGGCGGATTTGTGGAGGCATCGTGTTCTCTCGGCAAGAGTTCCTTTCAAGACGGTGAAACAAGTAGGTCACAACGGTGCGCATACGCGCGTAGCGAAGTCGGGTTCGTTTCCCGCCCCGGAGTCGGCCACGTGGCGCTGCGCGGACGCGTTGAGCGCCGCGGGGAAGTCGCCCGGCGGCGGCGCCTCCTTGGCCTCGGCGGCCTGGGGCGCCGTGGGCCGGGGCCAGCCCCGGTCGAGCAGCGCGGCGACGGCGGCCTGGGCAGGACAAGAGTGCGAAATTCCCAACTTCAAAGGCTCCTCTCTCGGCCATTTTCCACTCGTTTCGGCTGACTTTTGGACGAGCGATCATCTCTCGGAACGGTCTCGAAGCGTGGATGCTTTTTCCAGAACGCGCGCGCGCGGAACACTCACGTTGAAGCGACGTTGAATCACCCTTGTCCTGCCCTGACGGCGGCCTCGACGTCGTAGTGCTGCGCGTTGAGGGCCGCGATGATCGCGTCGTCGCTCAGGTCGGACGCGGGCGCGCCGAGGGTCTCCCGCACGGCGGACACGGCGCTGAGCTGCGTCGTGAGCAGCTCCTCCATCTCCGGGTTCCGCGGCGCGGCGCCGGGCCGCGACGCCGGCGCGGGCACGCGCGCGTCGAACGCGGACCCCGCGACGGCGCCCGGCGGGATGACCGCGCGGAGCGTGCGGCCGGCGACGGTGAAGGCCGCGGTCTGGCCCGGCGCCATGCCCGGCGGGACGATGACGCGCACGGTCGCATACTCCGGCGGCGGCGCCGCGCCGGCGGGCGCCGGCGCGCCGGCGGGCGCCGCGGTCCCCGCCTGGGACGCGCGCCGCTGCGTGCTGCCCGCGGCGCCCATGGCGTCGCGACCGGGCGGCGCCTTCCGTGCCGCCGCCGCCCGCGGAGCCCGCAGCCGCGGGCGTGGTCCAGCCCCGCACGAGCCCCGAGAATGGGATGCCCGCAAAGTTGCTTGCGTCGTGCTTGCACGCAACGGTGCCGCGGACTTGCAACGCGCGGCGTCGGAGGCTGCCCCGCCGCGCCGCCGCGCCGCGCGCGCCCGAGGGCCATGGGCAACTCGCTCGCCGTGTCGGTGATCAGCCAGGTCGTGCAGAGCAACCGCGCCGAGCTCATGGCGCTGAAGAAGCGGGCCATGCGGGGCCACCGGGGCACCATCGACCGCGAGGCCTGGGAGGCGGCCGAGGTCGCCGCGTCCATCGACGAGAGCGACCGGGAGATCTACGAGCGGCTGTTCACGCTCTACGACAAGCGGGGCAACAACGAGGTCCACGTGCGCGAGTTCCTCAGCGGCCTCGCGACCATCGTCAACGCGACGCTCGAGGAGCGGCTCCACGTCGCGATGGAGATGTGGGACGACAAGGGCACGGGCTACCTGAGCCAGGCCGAGGTCCAGAGCTGCTTCCTCTCCATGAGCCGCACCTGCGACTACTTCGGCGACGAGAAGATGTCCTACGAGCAGATCGAGGAGCTCGTCCAGTCCATGTTCGACACGTTCGACGCGAACCTCGTGGACCTGAAGATGCGCTACCGGGACCACATCTCCGACTTCGCCGTCCACCCCATCATGGAGATCTTCATCGGGCGCCAGACCCTCGACAGCTAGGCTTCGTCCTTACGTGTTGTTTTTCGCCTCTAGCGGGGCGCGGCGAGCTCGACGTGCTTGCCCGGCTGCCAGTTGTTCTTGGCGCGGGTCCGGCGCCAGAGCACGCAGACGCGCAGGTCCCGGCCGGGCATGGCCCGGTCGCAGGGGCCGAGGACGACGCCCAGGTCTCCGGCGCGCACATCCTCGTAATCGACCTTGGCGCGGATGACGTCGTTCTTCCGGACGTCGTGGCCGGGGACGAGCGGCGCGTGCGCGAGCGCCGCCTGGGCAGGACAAGGGTGATTCAACGTCGCTGCAACGTGAGTGTTCCGCGCGCGCGCGTTCCGGAAAAAGCACCCACGCTTCGAGAGCGCTCCGAGAGATGATCGCTCGTCCAAAAATCAGCCAAAACGAGTGGAAAACGGCCGAGATATGAGGCTTTGAAGTTTGGAATTTCGCTCTCTTGTCCTGCCCTGAGCGCCGCCGCGGGCGCCGTCGCCACCCTCGTGTCCCCGAAGTCGACGACGAGGCCGCCGCGCAAGGCGTCCGCGCCTTTGACGACGCCGCGGTCGCCCGGTGCCACGCGCGCGCCGACGGCCGCCGTCGCGACGACGCGGTCCTCCTTCGCGAACGTCGCCTCGAGGTCCGCGAACGCGAGCTGCGCGCGCGTGTAGGAGTAGCGGCCCTTGGCCCCGAAGTCGACGAGGACGCGCGACTCGAAGGCGTCCAGGTTCGGCGACGAGCAGGGGCCGACGACGGCGCCCGGGTCGCCGACTTCCACGCGCTCGAAGCCCGCGCACGCCACGACTTGGTCGCCCTTGGCGAGGCCGCCCGCGAGGGGCGCGTGGGCGAGGTGTTTCGCCTGCGCTTTGAAGCGCCGGCGGCCGTCCGACACCCAGACCTCGCCGTCGCCCGGCGCGAGGCCGACGACGACGCCCGACCCGCCGCTCGCCGCGTCGGTAACTTTGTCGCCGAGCACGACGTCGTCGCGGCCCTCGACGAGGGGCGCGCGGTGGCACTGCTGGCCCACGACGTAGTTGTAGAGCGCGCCGCCCCCGAAGTCGACGCGCGCGCGGCCCGCGTCGCCGCGGCGGCCCGCGACGAGCGCGACGACCTGGCCCCGGTCGCCGACCCGGACGGTCTTGTGCGGCACGTCGGCGACGACGCGGTCGCCGACGGCGACGTCGTAGACGAGCGACAGCCGCGCGCCCGCCTCGTCGCCGCTCGCCGACGACGCGTCGTCGCCGTCGTCGTCGGCCGCGGCGCGCCGCTTGATGGCGTCGAGGGCCGCGGCGGCGCCGCGGTAGGCGACGGCGAAGGCCGCGCCGGCGGCGGCGGCGACGCAGAGCGTGCGGCGCTCGGCGGCCGTGAGGTGGAGACGCGTCGGGACGCGCCGCGCGCACGCGCGCAGCGCCGCGGCGAGGCGCTGGGTAGGGTCCGTCATGGCCGCCATTGCGATCGAGGCCTGCGACAGTGCGAGCCGGCCGGCCGTGCCCTTCACCTCGCATTCAACATGCGGACGATCACCTCGGTCATGGCGGCCGTTGCGCTGGATTTGCGGCCGGGCCTGCGGCCCTTCAGCAACCCTTCACCCAACCATCCGATCCCGAAATTAACACGTCCCGGGGGCCCTCGAAAGCCCCCGGGGGAGAGCACAGCACAATCAGCCCGGCGGCGGGTCGCCGTGGGCGTACCAGCAGTCGGCGCCGCGGCGGCAGCCCGCCGGCGACGCGAAGAAGCGGCACCGGGGCCGGTCCGCGGGCTCGCAGGCGCCCTTCGCCGCGGGCGCGCGGGCTCGGAGGCGGTCCGCGCCGCGGCCGCCGCGCGCCGCGCCCCGCCGCACGGGCCCCGCGTAGGGCGCGGGGAAGGCCATGGGCGCGCCGTCGCGGTAGATGGGCCCGAGCGTGATGGGCTCGGGCAGCTCGTGCGGCGGCGGCGCCGCCGCGGCGCCGGGCGAGCCCGGCGGCGGCGGCGGCGCGCGCGCGTAGGCCTGGGCGTAGGCCGCCGCGTAGGCCGCCGCGTAGGCCGGGTCGTAGCCCTCGTAGCCCTCCGGCGGGTACGCGTAGTAGCCCGCGCGCGGGTCCCAAGTGTACGCGCGGTTGCTCGGCTCCGGCTCCGCGCCGAGGTCCGCGAGCGGGCCCCCGTAGTCCGCGCGGCCCTCGAGAAATGGCACGACCGCGCGCTCGACGTGGCCCCGGCCGTCCGCGCGAATCAAGAGCGGGCTCGCGAAGGGCACGTCCGTCTCGTCGTCGCGCAACGTCTCCAGCGCCGCCGCGACCTTGGCGAAGTCGAGCGACGGCGCGGCGCCGAACCACGCGTCCTCCGCGCCGCTCCCGTCGTCGAAGACGGGGCGGAGGTTGGGCGGCAGCAGCCGCGCGCACTGCTTCCCGGGCAGGAGGCAGGCCAACGCCTCCAACGGCTTCAGCGGCGGCACCCAGGGCTCGTCGCGCGCGCCGCCGGGTTCCGAAACGCCGCCGCGCGCCGCGTGCGCGATGACCGCCTCGGGCGGCGGCGCCGCCGGCCGCGCGTAGCGCACGGAGCTATCGCGCACGTGGCCGCGCACGTAGGCCCCTAAACACCACTCGAGCGACGCCAGCCACTCGGCCTCGTCCCACGCCGCGCCGTCGGCGTCGGGCTCCGTCGACGCGGAGCTCGACCCGTCGTCCTCCTCGGGCCGCAGGCCCGGCGGCGGGCAGGCGGGGCAGGCGTCGCCCGCGGGCGTCGGCCAGTCCTCGGCGAGCTGGCCGAGCTCGTGCGCGTGCACGCACGCCGGCTCGTCGCACTTCGTGCCCCGAGGACACACCGCGACGCACCACGCGGGGTCCCGCCGGACCTTCGTCGTCCGGCTCCGCCCGTAGCCCGTGCAGTTCGCCGCGCGGCACCGCACCTCGAGCGGGCCGGACCCGGCGTCGACGAAGATCTCGACGCGCGACGCGACGGCGTCGCCGGGCACGCCGACCAACGGCCGCCGCGCGTCCGCGGCGACGGCGTCGCGCCAGCCCGCGCCCCCGGCCCGGCGCCACTGCACGCGGTACGTCAGCGTCTCGGCCCCGGACGCGACGGCGCCGAAATCCTTGGGCGTCAGCACGCGCACGGCCACGCGGTCCGCGCGCCGCACCAAGGTCACCTCGACGGCGCGCGGCGCCGACGGCCCGCCGCGCGCGGTCCGCGCGTGGCTCCGCGCGTCCTCGACGACGCGCCGCCGCTTGAGCTCGATGGTCTCCGCGTCGTGGCGGTCCTCGAGGAGCGACGCGAGCACCGCGCCGTCGACGCGGCCCGTCGCCTCGTCGTAGAGCGGCCGGAGGCCCTCGACGTACCTGTGTGGAAAATCTTCAACCCGACTTCAATGTGAGCATATGCGACAGTTTCGACGCAAGCTATTCGGCTGTGCTTCGAGAACTCGACGAGAGCAATCGATTCGTCCAAAAATCAGCCGAATCGACTTCGATTTGATCGAGCTAGAGAGTTCTGAAGTTTGGTCAGGACCCCCTGAACCAGTGGTTGGTTTCCACACAGCGACGTACGCGCCCCAGAGCTCGTCGGACGCGACGGACAGCGGCGGCAGGTAGTCGTTGCCCCCGGCCACGAGCGCCAGGCACGCGAAGTCCAGCGCGAGCTGGCGCCGCGACCGGTCGCCGCGGCCCTCCGCGGACGCCGTCAGCGCTTCGACGAGCTCGCCGACGTCGTAGACGCGGCCGACGTCGTTCATGACCACGAGGCTTCTTAAGCCCGGCCCGAAGGTGTCGTCGCCGTCGCACGCGCGGCACAGCGCCATGACGACCATGTCCGCGTCGCCGCCGTAGACGACGACGTCCTCCGGCGCGGCCGCGGCCTCCGCGAGCGCCGCGACGTATTCCAGGCACTTGAGCTCGCCGTCGCCGGGCACGGCCGCGTCGCTCACGAAGACGGCGCGGAAGCCCTGGGCCTGCGTGTCGCCGTAGTGGTTCCGCTTGCAGCGCTTCTCCGCCCACGCGCCCAGCTCCCGGCTGAGCTTGGCCGAGAACTCCGTGCCCGGGGCGACTTCTAAAACGTCGTAGCCCCGCGGCCGCGCGTCGCCGCCGGCGCCGGGCGCCACGACGCCGTCGGCGCGCGCGCCGTCCTTGCTCTTGAGCCGCCGCAGGCGCGCGGACGCGAGCTTGGCCGCCGGCGCGGGCCCTTCGAGCAGCGCGGCGACGGTGCGCCGCGCGCGGACGACGCTGTGCGCGGACGCGACCCGGGGCGCCGCGAACAAGGATTCGACGCGCCCGAGCACGCGCTTCACGGCGTCGCGCGGGTTCTTGCAGCGCCGCGCCGCCGACTGGCAGATCTTGGTCATGTCGAGGACGACGTGATCGGCGAAGAGCGTCTCGCCGCGCGTTTCGGTGGCGAAGTCGAAGCGCTCGAGCATCCAGGCGTGGAACTTGCTCGCGCCCATGGTGCGTTAGTCGCGCGGTGTGTTGCGTCGCGCGGCGCCGCGGCAATGTTCGCGCGTCTTTTGGGTTCGGGGGTCGAGGGCCGGTTCTCGGCGCCTCGTCAACCGATTCCGGCCACCGTCGCGCGGACGCGCGCGCAGCGCGGTCGCAGTGGACCACCGGCGACGCCGGCTGGGTTTCGGCCGCGGTTGATGCAGCACCCAGCTGGATTCTCACCCGACGAGGGCTCCTTGCAAAAGCTCGAGCCGATCCAAAGCGGAGCGCCGATGTGATTTGCGCGAGTTTGAAGGTCACTTGAAGCTACCCAGCGGCCCCGCCCGCGCGCGCGTCCGTGCTCCAGCGCACGTCCATGCTCCAGCGGTCCACGTCGACGCCGGCCTTCCTCGTGCGGAACCCGCGCGCGTCCATGGTCCAGCGGCCCGCGCCCGCCGACGACGCGTCGGACCAGTCCGCGCCGCCGGACCTCGAGCGCGAGCCCACGCCCATGCCCGCGGCGCTCCGCGACAAGTACCGCAAGCCGCCGACGGTCCGGCTGCCGTCCAAGGACCCGCCGCGGCGGCGGAACTCGCTCCTACAGCACGTCTAGTTAGCACCGCCGGGGGAGCAAAGCGAAGAGACCGCCCGCGGCGCACCGCTGGGCACGCCAGTGGTAGAACGCCGCGCCGAAGGCCGCGCCGCCGAGGTGCGCGGCGAAGTCGACGCCGCTCCGCCTTCGGACCAGCGCGTCGAGCGCGAGGGAGCAGAGCATCGCCGTCGACGCGGGCATCTCGAGCCCCGGGACGCCGTAGAACGCGGTCGTCGCGGCGCGCGCGCGGCCTCGAAGGCGAGCATGGCGAAGAGGACGCCCGACGCGCCGCGCGTCTCCGAGTAGCCGCGGAGGAGCGCGTCGAGGACGATGGACGCGCCCGAGCTCGCGGCCGCGGCGGCGCCGACGAACGCCCAGAACGACGGCCGGTCCCCCAGCCGCTCCGCGAGCCGCGGCGCCGCGCGGCCGAGCGCCAGGCCGTTCATGCTCAGGTGCAGCGCGTCCTCGTGGGCCAGCGCCGCGAGGACGAGGCACCAGACGCGGCCGCTCCGCGCGTTCGCCGCGCTCGCCGCGCAGTGGCGCCGGAGCCAGCCCCGCGACGGCAGGCCGAGCGCGTGGAGCGCGAAGCCCGCGACGACGAGCGCGACGAGCAGCGTCGCGTCGTCGGCGGCCGCGCCCCGGAGCAGCGCGCCGCCGCGGAGCGCGACCCAGGCCCCGTAGGCGCCGACGTGCCAGGTCGGCTTCCCGCCCACGGCGACCTCGGCGACGGCGCAGACGCCGAGCGACCGGTGCTTGTCGATCGCCGGCGCGAACCAGAGGCCGTCCTCGCGCACGCGGTGCTCCCTCAAGTCCTGGACCGTCGGCACGGAGCACATGGCGGCGACGATGGCGATCACGAGGACGGCGAGCAGGGAGTGGAGCTGCCACTGCACCGTCTCCTTCTAGCGCGACCGGGGCGACCGCGCGCGGTAGATCGCGCCGTCGCCGCTCACGTAGACCATGCAGCTCGACCTCACAGCTCGCGCTGCGTCCAGGAGCGCAGCGTGTCGATCTGCTCGGCAGCAGCCGCGGCTGCCCAGCATCCCCATGAGAATAGAACAAAACCCAGAGAACTCTCGGATCTCTGCAAAATCTGGCGGCCCAGCGAGCCGCACAGGCTCTCACTGGCGACGCCGTGAACCCGATCTCGTCGCTCGTGGGGTCCAGCTCCCATAAACGCGTGCGCTATACGGATTATACGTAGGACCTCTATGTGGGGGCGAATCCAGCGTCCGCGGAGGGTTCCTAGACGCTTTGGGGAGGTAAAGTAACGTTTTTGGGCTTCGGGCGGCGCCCCCCGGCGAAATCGATCACTTTACCTTTCTCAAACCCCCGGCGACGGTGTGCGGACGAAAAATACCACAGCGTAGTTGAGAGGATGGCGCTACCATCTCAGCGCGCTGCGCGCGGTGGACTTGCTGCGCTGCGTGCCTGACCTCACACCCATTCGCGAGGGTCGTTTCTGCGCTCTGGCCAGCGACGAAGTCGAAATTTTCTCCCGCGCTGCGCGCGGGGCGGGTGCGGCGACTCTGTGGCAGCGGCGTCTGCGGCGGCGGCGGCTGCGCGGAGCGGCCTCATTTTCCGGCGAGGGCGCGATCGCTTGCACGCCGTGCGCGAGCGACACGTGCAGCTGCGCCGGTTCTGGACCGCTACGCGCGCTGGATCCCGCCGAATTTTTTCTCCCGCGCTTCGCGCGGCAAGGAGGCGCTCCAGACCAAAACCGGTGCTTGGGCGCTGCGCGGCTTCATGGAGGTGGTCTAGAACATGTCCGAGGAAGCCATGGACTTGCTCTCCGCTATAATCTCCACGCGCGCGCGCGTGACGACGACGACGACGACGACGACGACGACGACGGCCGGCCGGCCGGCCGACCGACTGGGGCCGGGGCCGACGGCGCAAATGGCGTCCGTCGACGCCTCTGGCTTCGGCTCTGCGTCCCCGGGGTAAGACCAGGCGTCCCCGGCGTCGTAGCGGCCGTAAATGTACTTTTCCGGATTTCCGACGATGTTGCTTCTGTTTATGGGAGCTGGACCCGGCTTGATCTGAGATCAGCCCCCCCAGGCTTTGCTCGTTTTGTCAGATCTGGGCTAAAACGCGTCTTTCGCTAGCCGATGCAGCGGTTCCAGGACTTGGCGCGGCGCTCGGTCTGTGGACCTTGCCGCGCCTCGGGCCCGGGTGCGAGTCGCTCGGGAAAGACCATCGGTCGAAGGCGAGCAACTTAGTTCGCGTCGGGGCAGCCCGTGGATGACGAGAACGGCCGTTAATGGTGGGGGGCGACCGACGAGAGGCCCAACTTAGTTCCAGGGCTCGAGCGGGCCGCGGCATCTCGAGTAAACACCGCCTGGAATGTCCCTCCCGAGTGGCCTGTCAAGGTTGCCGCGGCCCGAACGCCGCATGCATTGCGCAGTGAGCGCCGTGTCACCCGCGGCGCCGCGCGCCTCCCGGAGCCGGTGAGGTGATCTCGATCAAATCGGCTCGAGCCGAAGGGCTGCCGCGAGGGCATCTGATCGCCCTCATGACGAACGATTCCCGACGCTCTGTGACTCGAAGGCGACCGAAATTCGGGTCGGGGGAAGCTGCCGCGCCCCATTCCACCCCCTGAGGCTGCCCGTTTGCGCCACCTCGCAATCGTCCGGATGTCGCGTCTTTTCATGTGCATGTTTGCGGACCTCAAAGCCGCTGGGATCGTTGCACGTCGCTGCATATTCGAGGAGCACGGGGCCCTCTAAGACGCGGAAGCCGCGATTCGGCCTCGGCTACAGCGCCGTCATGACGAGCGTCCTCGTGGCCCTCGTCGCCGCGACGGAGCTCGGCGTGCTGATGACGCCCGATCTGAACGTCGCGATGCGCAGCGTCGGGCGCTGCGCGTCGGACGCGGGCATGGGCTCGCGTTAGTGAAGTCCGATGCTCAGGTTTTAAACCCAGGTCTTTTGGTCTGATTCCCAGGTTTGATGCTTTTCCAGGTCTTTTTGAGTATGAAACCCAGGTCTTTTGGAGGTCCATTTTTTTATTATCCCCCCTATATAAATTACAGATATGTTTGCCGCTTGACGACAGGATGCCCCAACCCGTTTGTCCGCAGGAGTGCGCATGCGACGTCTGGGCTGCCCCGACGCCGCCAGAACCGCTATTCCCGGGCCAAGGAAGTGCACTGGAGCACGCCAGTGAGTTGCGCCGGCGCTGCCCCATCCTTTTGGCGGAGTACATTCGGTCGATCACTGCGGCTGCGGGCTGCGCGCGCGCCCACTCGATTTCGGGATCCCGTCTATTACCGTCACAGTTTCACCCACTGAGCTAAAATGGCCTTCCCTATGCCGTTCTGTGTCTGATTGTAGGTTCGAATGCCCGCGCGCGCGCGCGCGCGGCGGCGGCGGCGGCGGCGGCGGCGGCGGCGGCGGCGGCGGCGGCGACGACGACGACGACGCTGCTGCTGCTGCTGCTGCTGCTGAAGGTGATGGAGGTGATTGTGGTCCACCTGTGGCCCACCGCCGGCGACCTGGACCACGCCCTGGGCGACTTCTAGGTTTTTTTCGTAATTCGAGGGCCTGGGTTTCAATCCCAGGTCTCTCTTAGTCTGAAACCCAGGTCTGATGCTCGATGCCCAGGTCTCTAGTCTCTGGGTCTCTGATGCCTGACCTTCACTAGCTCGCGTTCTATCCACAAGGCGAACAACCGCCGCGGCTTCGCGCAGGGCAGGAAAAGGGTGATTCAACGTCGCTTCAACGTGAGTGTTTCGCGCGCGCGCGTTTCGAAAGCAGCATCCACGCTTCGAGAGCGCTCCGAGAGATGATCGCTCGTCCAAAAATCAGCCGAAACGAGCGGAAAACGACCGAGATAGGAGCCTTTGAAGTTGGGAATTTCGCACCCTTTTCCTACCCAGGCTTCGCGATCTTCACGCAGGGCGTCGACGAGGAGAACCGGGCCTTCAACTACGCCTCTCTCGCCAAGGTCGTCGCGCCGGCGCTCTCGGAGATCGAGGCCTTCTCGCGCAAGATGGTCGGGCCGGCCTTGCACGCGAGCGTGCGGGTGTTGGTGAACGGGCCGACGAAACGGGCAGCCGACGCCCTCGGCCGGCACGCGGACAAGCGCATGTGGCGGAAGAAGTACCCGTGGCTCAAGCAGGTGAGACTGATCGTCGCGACCGCGGCGTGCATCGTCCACTTCACGATCATGGTCATGGACGACAAGGGCCGGGCGGTCCCTTCCTTCGGCGTCTTCGCGTCCGTGTTCAAGGACGTCGCGGCGTACGAGGCCTACTTCCTCGTCGCGACGTCGGCCGGCCAGGCGGCCGTGGGCTACATAAACGTCAAGGGGAAGCGCCTCGCCCTCAAGGTGTTCCACAGGATCGTCGGCATCGACTACTGGCGCAACGTCCTCGTGCTCACCTGGCTGGTGAACGACGACCAGGAGGCCGACGAGACGCGCCGCCGGCTGAAAACGCACCTCCTCGACGCGTCGGCGCTGCCGGAGTCGACGCTCGTGGCCCCCAGCCCCGAGGCGCTCCGGGCGTGGCTCCTGCGGCACAATCGATCCGAGTACGTGGCAACGGGCGAGGCGGCGCGGCTCGCCACAAACCTGCGCGCGCGCGGCGGCGCCTAGTGAAGGTCAGGCATCAGAGACCCAGAGACTAGAGACCTGGGCATCGAGCATCAGACCTGGGTTTCAGACTAAGAGAGACCTGGGATTGAAACCCAGGCCCTCGAATTACGAAAAAAACCTAGAAGTCGCCCAGGGCGTGGTCCAGGTCGCCGGCGGTGGGCCACAGGTGGACCACAATCACCTCCATCACCTTCAGCAGCAGCAGCAGCAGCAGCGTCGTCGTCGTCGTCGTCGCCGCCGCCGCCGCCGCCGCCGCCGCCGCCGCCGCCGCCGCCGCGCGCGCGCGCGCGCGGGCATTCGAACCTACAATCAGACACAGAACGGCATAGGGAAGGCCATTTTAGCTCAGTGGGTGAAACTGTGACGGTAATAGACGGGATCCCGAAATCGAGTGGGCGCGCGCGCAGCCCGCAGCCGCAGTGATCGACCGAATGTACTCCGCCAAAAGGATGGGGCAGCGCCGGCGCAACTCACTGGCGTGCTCCAGTGCACTTCCTTGGCCCGGGATGGGCCCCGATAGCGGTTCTGGCGGCGTCGGGGCAGCCCAGACGTCGCATGCGCACTCCTGCGGACAAACGGGTTGGGGCATCCTGTCGTCAAGCGGCAAACATATCTGTAATTTATATAGGGGGGATAATAAAAAAAATGGACCTCCAAAAGACCTGGGTTTCATACTCAAAAAGACCTGGAAAAGCATCAAACCTGGGAATCAGACCAAAAGACCTGGGTTTAAAACCTGAGCATCGGACTTCACTAGCGGCGCCGCGCCGTGGCAGGGCGACTGGCAGTGGGTTCCGGAGAAGAAGGGCGGACTCGGATCGTGGCTTCACTTGGACGTCGATGCCGTGCGCGAGCGCGAAAAAGCTCAATCGAAGGCGAACACGGACCGCCGGAAGAAGGTCGCCTGTGAGGGCCAGGCGCTGCTCACGTGTGCTGGTTGTCATCGGCCGTTCGTGTCGCCGTGGGCTTTGAATATTCACTTGTCTTGGCGTCCTGTGACAAGGACATCACCGAGCTTTAGGCTAGGCTTCCAACACCCCCTGTTCTATGCTCGGTCACGAAAAATCGAAAGTCCCCAAATCGTCGGTTTTAGTAGCCTAAACGCCTTAATAGGTCCCACGAGGTCCCCGGAGGTCTCTGTTGGTCGGGAATCCAAAGCAGATTGCCGAGGCTTACGGACGAACCCGCGAAGACGACGGCGCGCGCGTCCGGCCGGAAGAACGGGATCAGCACGAAGAACGGCGCCATGTAGGCGAAGGTGTATTCCCAGCAGGTCACCGCATTCGCCGCGACGGGACACACGAGGCGGTTGAAGCGATGGTGGAACGCGTGCATCCAGAAGAGCCGCTTCGTGTGCATCGCCCGATGGGCCGCGTAGTAGCCTACGAAAACGCAACGATGCGCAGCGTCATGGCCGCGGGGCGCCGCGTTCGCGCCGACGGCGTGGCCGAGGGTCATGCAGACGCCGACGGCGAGGCTCTCCGCCGCGGGCCGTCGTTCGCGCGCCGCGAACAGATTCACGCCGCCGCAGTAGATCAACGGGCCGAGCACGAGGTTGTTGGACAGGTTCGCGACGACGGCCTGCCGGTAGAGCCGCGCGTCCTTGCGGACTATGTCGCGCACGGCGTCGAAGCTGAGCAGCTCGAGGAGCACCGTGGCGGCGAGAGTGCAGATGCCGACCATCAATCCGTCCGCCAGCCCGCCGGGCCAGCCGCGCGGCGACGGCAGGATCTCCGACGGCCGCTCCCACCAGCACTCCATCGCGGCGTGCGGCAGCCGCTCCATCACTGCTCCTGTCGGCGCGGCGCGCCGAACGGCGCCTCTGGCGGTCGGGCCGAGTACGGGCAGCCCTGCCTCAACATCAACCTAAAAGGTAAACTTTGCAAAAAAGGCTGTTGCAAAGCGCGCCGCCGACGCCGACGCCGACGCGCCGCGCCGATCGAACGCGATGCCATCACTTGGGCAGGTGCTAAGCAAGCAGGCGCACGCGCCGGCGGCGCCGCCGCCGTCGTCGCCCGCGGGCAAGCAGGCCGTCTGGCCGCGGTCCGCGGACCGCGGCAAACCAAGCTCGCAAGCACTACAAACCCACGAGCGGCTCTACGAGCCGGCCTACGACACGAGCGACGCCGCGCGCTACGAGTCCGCGAGCCGCGCGACCTTCAGCAAGGCCGCGCTCGAGCGGCACGTGCCCGGCGCGGCGACGCTGAGCGACCGCGTGCTCCAGGCCGAGGACGCGCTCGAGACGGGCGACGAGTCCGGCCCGAGCGACCTGCGCTTCCGCAGCGGCCTGCGCGCGGCGGCGCGGCCGCCGCGCCAGTTCCGCGACGGCTGCGGCAAGGCCGGCCCGCGCTGCGTCACGGGCCGCATGCGCCTCACGTCGCGCGATTTGCAGGCGCACGCGCCGATCTTCAAGGAGCGGCCTTTAGAAGCGCCCGCGGGCCCGCGCTTCGTGACGGCGACGGCCGCGGCGCACACGGGCGCGCCGCCCGGCGACCCCGCGAAACAACAACTCAGCCACGAGCGGCTCCAGCGGTCCGCGGGCGTCGCCGCGGCCGTCGCGTTCCCGGGCGAGGCGCCGCGCTACGCGCCCGAGAGCGGCGCCTACCGGAGCCACGACCACGCCGCCGTCCGCGCGCCCGGCGAGGCGGGCCGGGGCAGCGCGGCGTCGGGCGTCGACCGCATCCGCAAGACGCGGGACGCG